CGATGAGGCGAAGGGGATAGATTAGAGAGGAAAGGAGGGGAGGGGGTAGTGTGGAGTGTGGAAGTAGGGGAGTGTGGATACTGGTTACTGGTTGCATAGAATGAGATTGTTGAGAGATGAAGCCGATAGTTGTCGACTGTGTTGTACTTTGATCGACTTCAGGCGTTGAATGGCGACTTTAAGGTCTACGATGTGGTTCAAGAGGTGGACGAGAACGCACCGACGCAGAGCTTTGTCGAGCTACCATACTTCAGTCGAGTAACGATATATGGGCCTTGAGGTGAGGTGTTGGGGCTGATGACTATGATTTCTTCTCTCGCGATAGTTTTAGTAAAGAAATGGAGAAGTGAGCGCCACATTGCAGTATCACTGACCCTCAAACGGCTTATCGCCCGCAGGACCGTCCCTAGCTCTAGTGTCGTCAACCGTACGGATATCTCGGAGCTCATTGTCGTGATCGAAGCCTCTCCGAATGGCTGTGGCATACGCAGTCTCCAAACGCTGTACAGAGTTATACCAAGCGAGTCTCCACCAGGACACTTGACCATCACTGTGACTGCTTCTCCTGACTATACGTTGAAATCAACCGTGGAAGCTAGGCTTCGACTTCGATATGGGTCGTAATCGGGTTGAGCTAGGCAAGGAATACGGCACTTGTGTGATCTTCAGTCAGGAAGAGCCTCCAGATAAAGCAAAAAGCGGACAGGGCGAGGGTGCACCTGAAGCTGCGTTGCTAAGAAATGGGAAGCTTGGGGTGGATGCATTCGTTGATCTCGGCGGGGAGGAGGCTGAGTTGTTCGTGTATGGTGGTGTTTCCATGTGGAGGCTCGCTGCCGTTGGGTATCGAAAATGATGGTTTGCTGGGTGTGTGCTCTTTGAGATCGTCTTCATGTGAGGCAATTGGGAATGCTGTAGTTACCCAAGATGTCGAGAAGTTCAAAATGAACGATAGAGTGTCCAGAATAGCGACTCGACGCGGTATAAAGATCCCAAACGATGACTTCAGACGCACGAGTCTCCAGTAGGCGCTCCCGTCGTCCGCCCTGACACCCACACGCCGCGTGTATTTCCAACACTCCCCGTGTCCCCAAACTACCAACGTCGTCGTACCAACCTTCCGCCTCGCTGCCACTTCCCTCTTATTGCGCCCAGTATCTCTCCACCATATTTACTCCAAAAGTGCAAAAATGCAAAATCTCTCCATCAAAAATAACCAAAAACACACGCAGCAGCGCCCCACGACAACGGCGACGAGCGCAAAAAGATGGACTTGCAGGGAATCGAACCCTGGACCACTCCCATGCTAAGGGAGTATTATACCACTAAACCACAAGCCCGGTTCTGCTGTTCCTGGAGGAGGAACTGCTTTGATGAAGAGATGAGAAAATGCGGCGTATATATCGCCAAGAACAACGAGGTTGATTGATGAGCGCGTTGGGAAGATAGCGAGGATGATGCCCCACCTCGGTGTTGGAGGTTTGCCGGAGGTTTGCCGGGACCAGGAACTGACTAGCGATGTGGGGACGAATCCTAAGGGTAATATTAGTGGTAACACAGGAACGACTGTTGAGTTGGTCGAAGGGTGTGCGATGCGATATATCTTTGAGGTTCTTCCACTTGAGCGATGGATGCTGACAATGTTTCGCCATTTCGGTAACGGCAGATTGCGAACACCACGATGATGCTCAAGCCACTATGCGACAGTCGCTCCGACAATATTTCAGTACAGTCATTCGTCGGTATTACCATCTCTTTCACACCACGTAATGCGTCGACAGCGTAGCGCGAAATTGTCTAAGAAAGAATTGACGGAACGCATCGAAGTCGACCAAGCCCCTGGATTCATCAAGGTCGGTCTGGAATCTGCTTCGATGTCGCGTAAGAGCTGCGCGACAACATTGTTTGCAGTCTGCAGGGAGACGACGCGGTGGTGCCGTGGTGTGGGTTATCGCATCGCGACATAGTCGTGGAGACTACGCTGGTGAGTAATGTTGCGGATAGTCGACTTCATCATGATAGTGATCGCGACGCGATCAGTTCGTGTCAGCGTGGAGCCGACGCGGTGATGCCGTGCCATGAGTTTCTGCGTCGCGAACTGAGCGCGGAAACTACATCATTTCGTAACCAGATCGCGGCGGGTCGTCGAACTCCCCTTTCTAGCATGACGCGACGGCATGCTGTGGACAGTAGGGCGCTGGATGGGTAGCGAGCGTGAAGTACTCAGGAAGATGTATCGTAGGAATGCGCAACGTCGGCAGCTGAGGTCGCGATGGAGCTGCGTGGGTGGAAGACGGGGTGTAGAGAAAGAGTTTGCAAGACGGAGGACGTTGGGTTAATCAAGGACAAAAGATGGCACGGACGCGGTGAAAGTGAAAGTGAAAAGTGAGTGCCGCATTGGGATGGAAGCGTCTAGCAGTAACAGACCACCACAGACCACCACACCACTCTCTCGACACAACAACAGCATGGAAGACAAAACCATAACACAAATATCATTCATTAGAACCTCATACACAACACCGCGTTCTACTTCACACCCACCCCCAACCCTCCATCCTCTACTCAACCTTCACCCTCTCCCACCTCAACCCCTCCTCAATACTCCCCCTCGTAACCCCCCAATTATCCGCAAACCAATTATCCCTCGGCTTCCAAGGCCCCGCATCCGCGCAATTCGGCATCTTCTTCATCGCCACATTGACATACGTGCTATTGAGCGGACTAGCACTAACCGTCTTCTGTCTGCTCTTCTCATCAATCACAGGCGTCACACTGGTATACCCCTGCTCTTGCTGGTGCTTGATAAGGCGGACGAAGAGGCGGGACGCGGCGTCTGAGCCGAGTGTCCAAGAAGCGTTCCAGTAGCCGATGATATTGCCGAGGTTGGGGAGGGAGGTGAGCATGGCGTTGCGCCACATGTATTGTTCTGAGACTTCGACTTTCTTGCCGTCGACGCGCACGTCGATGCCGCCGAGGAAACGCATGTTGAGGCCTGTGGCAGTAACAATGATATCAGCGTCGAGTTTGGTGCCGCTGTTGAGTTCGATGCCGTCGGCGACGACGCTCTTGATGGTGTCGGTGACGATGTGTGCTTTCCCTGAGCTGAAGGCTTTGAAGTAGTCGCCGTCGGGGCAGAGGCACATGCGTTGTTGCCAGGGGTTGTAGCCGGGCTTAAAGTGTGGGTCGACGGGGAAGTCGGCCGGGAGTTGTTGGGCGGCTTTCTTGACGAGGAAGTTGGATGCGAGGGTGGGGAACCAGATGCAGAATTTGTAGAGGAGGATGGGGACGAGGGTGAACATGAAGCCTGGGGGTGTTAGCACAGATCGATATTTGATTGAAGGAAGACTTACGCTTGTAGCGGAGGGTGAACCACTCCGGCGCCCACTTCTCAAACCACACCTGATCCTTCTGTGGCAGACTCATAATGTACGTCGGACTTCTCTGCAACTGGGTAACGCTGCCCACACCATTATCCACCATCGCGGGCATCATGGTAATAGTAGTCGCGCCACTACCCACGATAATCATCTTCTTGCCCTTGTAATCCAGATCCTCAGGCCAGAACTGCGGATGAACAAGCTTGCCCTTGAAGTTGTCGATACCGGGGATGTTCGCCTTCAGCGGCGTGTCGTAGTTGTAGTAACCCGTACCAGTGATCAGCCACTTGGTCCAGTACACCACCGTCCGCGGCTCTCTCCCAACATCATTCCCAACCTCCACCTCAAGTCTCCATCGCTGTTCCTCACTCCTCCAATCCGCCTTCATAACCTTGTGTCTATACCGAATCTTCTTGTCCAGATCGAACTTGTGCGCCGTCTCCTGCAAGTAGCTCATGATGCTCTCGCCGCTCGCAATCGGATTCTTCGCCCTCCAGGGATAGAACTGGAAGCCCAGCGTGTGCAGATCGGAATCCGACCGTACACCCGGGTATTTGAATTGCGACCATGTTCCTCCGAGTTCGTGGCGGGCTTCGAGGACGGCGAATTTGGCGTCTGGCAGCGACTCTTGGATACGGTAGGCCGAGTTGATGCCGCTGAGGCCGCTGCCGATTACTAACACGTCGAAGTACGAGTCGATCATGGCGGGCCGGTGTGCTGACGGTCTGCGGTGCTTACGGTGGAGAAAGGGTGCCGGCGCAGGTACGCGAGGTGGGGAGGTGGCAGGTAAAGTGTAGTCTCTCAATCGGCGTCGTGACTCGTATATATGTGAAGCGTCCGACGAATACAAAAGCTATGACAGCAAGTCAGTGGTGGGCAATGGCCAGGGGAGCCGGTGCATGTCGACCTTTGTACCTAACCACCTCAGACCTCAACCTCCGAGGTGGCTCCACCCCCATCGTGCGACGCCACACGTTGCGCACGCTACCCCACCACTAGACATTTCGTCCATCATCTAGTCCATCACGGCCGTCTTTCACCGCCGTGCGATTGGGGGTGTCGTTCGCAACCTTAGTGTTGTTGAAGCGGTAAATACGTCACCGAGTTTTTTGCCGAGGCAGATCCTTAGTTGCTTTTTCTCCGGCACCCGCTCACCTTGCCACAAAAGGAAACATGACTTGTGTGCGACAGGCATGACTCGCTCTGTTGACTCCTTTTGGACCACTATGCGCGAGACAGGTTACGGCTGCTGAGATGCTTGGAGAGTTGATTTGAGAGGCCTGGTCAAATGTACCCCGCAGATCATGATCACCAGCTAAAGTTGGATTGCCTTATCGGAAACTTTCGTAGGGCTGGACGACGCTACAAGTCCCCAATTCTCGGAAACCCAAGACGTCCGAAAGCCAGATACCTCGGTATGTTCGAGCGAACGATGCCTGAACACCTCGATGTTCACGAGACAAGGTGCGATGTCAAATAGCGATCGCGGAGCGCACCGAGGCAGGCAGACAGACTGCTAGTGAGAATTCCGAAAGGTTGGTAGACTGAGCAGACGGACGAGTCTAATATAGACACACATTAAGCGAATGCGAAGAGCTTCCCTGATCCCACACATCTCCCTATCTACTCCCTTCCAATGATAATCATTTCCCCCTCCGCCCCGCTATCACTAGTCACATACATCCTACCATAGCCGTCCTGCGCAATACTCACAGGCCTGAAACATTGCGTAGTTGAGCAAGACTCGACATCCGGATTCCAAAATATATCAGCCCAATTCTGCGTACTATTCACGGCTGCTTTCGGTCCGAAGCCGTTCGCACCCTTGGTAAACGGCACTTCAATGATCTTGTATCCAATAGAAGGGTTGCGGTTCCACGATCCATGGAGTGTAATGTACATGCTAGTGAAGTTCTTGTTGAAGCTCGCATCAAGGGGTGCGGAGTGCGCCGGAAGAGCAAGACGCGGTGGTATACTGCGGGTCTTACAGGTATCGTCCGTGAAGGTCGCATTAGGCTCCAGAACGAACTGGTCGCCTATCGTGAATGGTTTGTCTGCAATAGATGCCGGGTTGAAGACGGTATAACAGGTGGGGTACCCGTACCAGTCCGTGTTCTCTTTGGATGGATCTCCGAGGTAGTTGATTTCATCAGCTGGGTTGTCAGTGTGAATATCCACGGATATCCCGTCAATAGTGCGATGCAGCTCGTCCGAAGAATTCTCGACACCCCAAAGCATGCCGTCAGCATCGAATGCTAGGCCGACTTCATTGCGGAGCCCGTAGCCCATCTGGTAGCCACTACTTGGGTAGTCGTAGCCATCGTCAGGAACAGTGGTCGTGTCAAAGACTTTGATGCAGGATCGGCCGGTTGCGATATCCGCAGAACCGTAATCGAAGTTATCATTCGAGCCATGAGATACGAGGAGCAGGTTTGGGTACTTTGGAGGGATTGCTAGCGTCCTGGTGACATGGCCTCTACTGTCCATGCCTGTCAAGACTGTTGTTGCGTTCTCAGATACGCTCATGGTGGTTGCATCATATGGCCATGAGAATACTGAAGTCGCAGAGCTAGCGAACAGCGTCTTCCCATCGTGGCTGAGCACAATGCCATGGTTGAGGTTCCGCTGAGCGATGACAATCTTGGACGAGGTGAGGCAGCCGTTTGGCGCGATTCTGTGTGCTGTAATGCCCATTCCATTTTGAACGACAAGAAGGTTCCCGGCGTTATCGAATATAAGACCTCTTGGCTGGGTCAGCCCTCCTGCGACCTTCGTCGCCCTCCATCCTTTCGCTGTGCTGGCAGGAAATGCAAGTTCTGCAACATCAGCGCACGACACAGGTATTCCTGTCTGGGTTGGTTGTGGTAATCCCGAAGTGACTGTACTCATGCTCGTCGTAGTCGATATTGTAGTGACAGCCGAGCTCGGTACTGGGGTGCTGCTTGATGCTGGTGGGGTACCATCGATGAGGTTCGCAGCAACCAACTCGTCGAAATCCGCATTCTGACCTTGTGTGAGGTCAATTCGGTAGTTTCCAAAGGAATTGTGCACGTTGAAGGTAGATCTATTGTTCGCCGGCTCAGCAGGTAGTCTACTCGATAAACCATAAGCGAACTTTTGCGCAGATGCATTCGCGTCGATGGAAACCAGATTACCGTCCACGTCATGCCATTGGGAGCAACCTTTGCACCGCACAGTCAGAGTCCAGTGAGTCGCATTGTATCCAGTCCCTTTGATGTACGAGTACTCTGCTTCGGCATAAGGCTGTGGTAAGCTCAGTCCGAAGGCCATCCTTGACGAGTAAATGGAGGTGTTTGATACACTGTTCATCCATCCGACTGTAAGTGGGACATATGGCATCGTACCGCCCCAGCTGAATCCGACCCATCCATTCTTGATAGGCGATACAATTTGCAGAACGGTATCGAAAGGCGCGGCTTTTGATTTGGGTAGAGCGACACCAAAGGTAATTCCATTCGTACCGGTCCACCCAGAATAGCAAATCGAGGTTTCCAAATCGCAGTACCGCTTGGTCGTCTGGCCACATGCTGTAACAGAGTCAATGACCTTGATTACATGGGTCAGTAAGAGCGAGTACCTGTATAACTGACAGCGACAAGCGTCAAGAATAGCCTCCCTATCTTCATCTTCGGCGAAACACGTAGACTCTACCAGATGATAACCTTTTAGCGTAGCAGAGAGCTGAGTTCTGTTGAAGACGCTGACCGTGCCAACGAGATATAAGATGTGCTCGGTTCTTGTTCCATCCATCCCGAAGACGAAACAAATAGCCGCGAGGCGCTTGATGCGTACGCGTCAAGTATCCCTTCGCCCAATGCTGGGAAATGCGATACACATCATGCAATGATCGTCGGCTGAGTGTTGTTTAACCATCCGCTCACGCGATAAGTCCTTGTAACGGACTTTGAATGACCGATACTGCCAACGGCTGTACTTTCTGTTGAGTGTTGGATCCGCTTCCACGTTGGCGGTATATTGTTGCTGCATTCCGCTTGCGGCAGATTGTTCCGCATTTGTATCTCCTTGCCAGGCTTTCATAGCGGTGTATTTCCACGGGCTTGTGAGAAAATTGTGGATAAGGCGCAGCCGCATAGCCATCTGAGCCCGGGTTTCCGCATGTTGAGCCTCATTTCAGCCCAGGATTCACAAGACTTAACCAATCCGTCCCTTACAATACGGGACGTACAAAAGCCGGCCAACACTGCGGCTCAAATAACCAGGCCCAATCGATTGCATGTTGTGCTATTTGAGCACGTTGCCGATCATCTTATTTGAATGGTGTTCTCCAGGGCCCGATAGATGAAGTGACGCATTTAGCCTTTGACCGTCAGCGCCGGATAGATAGCATCGACTTATACACAGGTACACTTGTATGTACTGAAGTCGTATATACGAATATCAAAGATCATCAATGGCCTGATACGCGCATTTTCTCGGTCCGGTCTCCGCAGCGACAAGGAGGGTTCTGAAGATAGCTCGCAACTGACTCCCATGCGTTCGGTAGACGTACTGTGTTTGTCGCAACAGTTTTCGCCAGCTTGAGCGACCGGTCTGCGATACCTGAGTGAATGGGGGGAAGGTGAAACAACGACATGGAGGGGTGTTTCGGGGTGTGATGAGGCGGAAGGAAGTTGGAGTGAGACGAAGCGAAAGGAAGTCGCGATGGGATGACGCACAGGCCCATGACGAAACGAGGGACGCCCACGCGAGCTGTGGAAAGAACCAACCACCCAACCAGGAGACAATTCCAAGACATGATCAGTAAATCAGTCTAGACTGATATCAATAATCATCAATCGCTTCGCTTTCGCATACATACACCTCAGACTAGAGCCATAGAACACAATAATTCTAAATCTTCGCCTTCGCAGGCGCAGTAACCCTCTTCCCATGTACATAGCAAATCCCCCTAATCTTCTCCGCCGCCTCCCCCCAAAGCTCATTCCTCAACACACTATAAACACCCATCTTAGCCCTTCCCTGCACATCCCTCGCCTTCTTCAGCGCAACCTCAAGCATAACCTCGGGGTCCGCAATCTCATCCACAATACCATCCTCGTATGCCTCCTTACCCGTCCAGCGATGCGCCTCAAGCAGCATCTTCCGCGCAATCTGCGGGCGCAGCTTGAGCCGCGGCAGGAAGCCGATACCAGGGAAATGCAGACCGAGATTTACGGGCGGCATAGAGAAGAAGCCGCGCGAGGAGTTCATGATGCGGTAGTCGTGTGCGAGGGCGAAGGGGCAGGCTCCACCGAATGTATGACCCGTCAGCAACGCGATAGTGGGGAACGGGTAGTCGAGCAAGGTGGCTAGGAGAGGGAAGAAACCATCGCTGTTGGCGAAAGGGTTTGTATCGCTCTCGTCCAGCTCGAGTCCTGTGCACCAGAACTTCTCGTCGTTTCCTCGTGTTATCACGCAGCCTTCTGTGTCGGCGCCTAGTTCGCGCTCGATGTCGCGGAGTGCGCGTATTATTTCTTGCGCGAAGGCGACGTTTATGCGGTTCTCGGGGGCTTTTGCGAGGGTTATGATGAAGACGCGGTCGTGGCGGTCGACGCGTAGGTTTGTGTATTCGCCCAAGGCCATTGTGTGGGTGGTTTGGGGGTTGCGATTACGACGTCGGTGGCGATGCGGGGATACCTGGGTGAAAGTAGATTGTTTAGTAGAGTCTATAATGTTAGCCCTCGTGATTTCGTGAAGCTACGCATCGCTTTGCGTGTCAAGCTGCCAAAGTTCATGGTGTTGAAGCCTCGGTAGCCAGATGCGGGGAAAGACCCTGGCTGCAATCGCGCGTTGCAGTGTGTGCTTTCCGTGTCATTTGCTGACTCGACAGACAGATAGAGAGTACTCTCCTCGAATGGTATTCGGCCAAAGCAACAGCCGTCGTGGTGGATGTAGACAACATGTGGGACGGAGACGTAAGGGGTCGAGGCCTGCAGCGCGTAGCAGTTGTGGAGCCCGCCTTGGCCAATTTCCCGATTCTCCCGTCTTTCCACTCGTCGCTACATCGTCAGGGCCATGACTCTCTCGTCCCCACGCCTCAGGCCCGAGACGCCCTTGCGCTTCTCATCACGATTTTCACATGCGAACCGTAACGTATAGGTAATGACAGGTCGTACGACGGCAGATGCTGTTATGTATATTGGAAGCTAAGCAAGCGGGAAGATAAGAAGCGACAAATGGAAAGTAAGAGAAGATATCGGCATCTAAGAAGGGTACAAATTGAGCCGTCTGCTACACACCGATCGTCCGACGTTGTTCTTCTATCCGTATTGCTGATTGGGATACTGTCCTTGCTGCCACTCTGCTCCCCCCATCGATGATCTTGAGCCGGCTTCGTACTGACGACTATATACTACATCGGATGGCGGTTGCTCATGTGCTACTGGCGTAGCAGGCTTGGGCATGTGTCTTGGGGGTTCCATAGGGTTTGTACGTTCATACTGAGTGGTTGGTGCAGCATAGTAGCCGGAAGGCCCGGTACGATGCGGCAGTGCATACGAAGGGTGTCCATATGGGTTACTCGGCATAGCTATACTAGAGCGTGGATCAAAACCGTCGTATCGCTCCTCGCGCTCGTGGGCAAGATGACTGTCATCTCGACCCAGGGTGGCGGTTCTGAAGCTATCGTACAACTTGGTCGTTTGGGCGACGTCATCAAAATGCATCTTTCGGAGCTGTTTCTGCATGCCGGGGTTTTTCTCGCCATCGAGGTGCGCTAGCGAAGCAGCGATCAGAAACGCGTTTCGAATCTGTCTACCATTCCATCGGCCTACACCAGACTTGGCTGTTTCATCGAAATGGGTCAGCGCAAATTCGTTGATCTCGCTCTCAATGATGTATAAGCGATCGGCTGCATCCTGGCGTTGAAGTTCAATGTTCTTGAGTCGAGTGATGTTGTGCTTGAAGATCTCCGTTGTCTGTTGTTTGTTGAGCTGGTCGTATCGCAGATGGAGGTGAACTCGAGACTTGATAGCCTCATCAAGAACTCCAACTCGATTGGTCGTGAGGAACAACACGCCGTTGTAATACTCGAGCATTCGGAGAAATACTATCCACGATGTGAGCATTAGTGTTCTTGTTTGCGATATGATGACAGCTTACCGGATACCAGCGCATTCCTTTGGAGATCATTCTTGTCTCTTTGCGAAATAAAGACCTCGGCTTCATCGAGTAACAGAACACAGTCCCAAAGATGGGCCAAGCGGAAGAATTCTTTCAACGACTTCTCTACACCTTCCGGAGTAAAACCAAGGTCACCGCAGGTGATGGGAAACAGCGGCTTCTCGTATTTCTGGGCGACAGCCTCCGCTGTAGCGGTCTTTCCAACGCCAGGTTCACCATGTAGAAGGATGACAATGCCTCGGCCTTTTCCTCGAATGAGATCCTGCGAGAGAACTTCCGTCCCCTCTGATTCATCCTTTTTCTTCCTGAAGTGCGATTTCAGAAGCGACTCGATGAGTCGTTTGTTCTTGTCCTCAATCTGTAGGTCTCCGAATGCTTCACCCTCCTTGCCTTGCTGCTTCACGGGCTTAAGATAGCGGGAGTCAATATGCACAAACTTGCGATCCCATACGGCGTACGCGAACATGCGCCGTGGTAGAAGGACCAGGTCTTCTCCAGTAGGAGCTTGATTATGCTGCTTCGCTAAAAAGGCATCGCGCTTGATATAAGCATTGTACTCCAGGAACTCGAACAAACTGTCATCCATGAGACTGTCATGGCTTTCCCGAAGAAGATCTTTGCGGTCGGAGCCCTTCCATGTTATTATGGATGTGTCATCGCTAACCAGTGCCAGGGTGTATATGTCCTCTTCTTGTTTAGTCAGCTCAGGTTTCCACCTTGGGTATACGTTGGAAGCTTCGGTGAAGTCCACCAACACGTCGCTCTCAATATGCTCTGGACTCTTGATCCTGTCCCCCTTTGCGTCTTCAAGGTCGTCCCCAGCAGGGCTTTTGATGACCGACCATCCGTTATAGAAGCCGTATCGTTTAGAAATGTGCTCCACGAATCTGGACCCGTCACTCTTGGCATGTTTTAGCTTCGTTTCTCGATCCTCGACGAACCGGAGTGGGTAGCATGGCAGCTCAGTGATGAGCTTCTTCCCCGCAAATGGTTCGAAAGGGATTGGAGTCATAACGCAACCGTATCCCTCGCCATCGTAGTCTAAATAGTACGACTGGATTGAGGTAAACTTTTGTACCTTGCAGATGGAGCAACTGCAGCCGTCCAATAACTCTTTGTTGTAGCCGACGTGGACCCGAAATAATCTGCGGATCTCTTGCGTGGTTGAGTTTGCGCTAGGCCCTTGTTGGCCAGACTTTGGGACATACACAAGATCGCCGGGCTCGAAGAGATAGCTCAGATCTTCGTAGCCCACTTTAGGTACCGTTGTAGCGGTCGGATTATGGAATTGTTGGCGCAGAGGAAGTAGGTGCTCCTCCACAAAGTTGACATAGCACTGGACCTCTTCAAGCGTTTCTTTCTTCAAATACAACGCTTCCAGATCGTCTGGATCTTGCTCTTTCTTATTGTTCGTGTCTTCATCATCGGCAGCGGAAGCAGGCGCTGTGTCCTTCAGTTTGGCCTCATCCAGCGAGGCTACATCTGTGTCTGGTGGTGCTGATGAACCTGCAACCTTTGTCTCGATGATCTGAAGCTCCTTCTTCATCTTCTCGTGGAAGTGAATGAGAAGTCGAAAAGGCTGGTGAAACGTATGTGGCTTCCCTTCCCAGGGTTTATCGGCATCACTTAACTTCCCAAGCATCTTCATGACGGCTTTGGAATTGATCCGGACCTGCTGAATCCAGCTACCTCTGCGTACTTCGCTATGTGCTAGGCCGTGTTTCGTGATCGGGGTGGGGTCCTCAGGATCAGATGGGACTTCAGGCTTTCGTCCAGGAATGCGCGCCCTTCTGGCATTCTCATCCTCCATTTGACGTGGCAGTGATCCACCGGTATTCAGTACCTCCAAAGCGAAGACTTCTTCACCTCCGTCATCCCTGTTTTTGAATTGTTCCCAATTGCAACTTCGCACTTGAGGAACGATCTTTCCCGAGAATACCACGGCATTCGGCTCTTCTTCAGTGCTTACGCGCCCATCCACTTTAGTGGCTGCCTTCTGGTCTTTCGGACCCTTTGCATTGGGTTCACCAGACTCCGCTGTGGGTGCATTTTTTGTTCTGGAAGTGACTAGCTCTTTGATCGAACTTGTGAGGTCGCCGATACTCCGGTTGATTTGATCGAGCGATACAGATCCGGATTCCAGCTGTGCGACGATGGCATCGCCATCTCTGGGATCTTTGTTCGAGACCTCTTTCGGCGTCGCCATATCACATTCAGCAGGGTCGGTTACTTGGCACACAGTATCCAAGGCTGGCTGTTTGAGTTCTTGCTCCACGTTCGCAGCTGTAGGAGGCGCGGACTCCATCATGTCGTTAGCGCGATTGGGATGGAGGTCGATTGTTCACAGCGTGGAAATGTGAAAGAGATCTTGGAGGGGAGATGGGGAGACAAGGTATGCGCTAGCAAAGAATTGCAAGGACTTAACGACCAGCTTGGTAACAGAATGGCAATAAGCACGTCAAGATTCTGCTAGGAAGGTCGAGAGGCCTCCGTCGTAGTACAGGAGGCTAAAGGCGGTTACCTAGAACCCCAAGCGCTGAGTTTGTAAGACATATCGGCTGCGCGTGTGGCACAGATACTTCTTACCCGTAGCGATCATTGCCGATATATAGTTATGGTTGCTTGGGGGCCAAATTGTCATACCAAGTTCCCTGTAAATTCCGGTCAAAACGGGGGCTGGGAGGGGCCAAGTGCAGACCTCGAGTAACCGCGGCTGATTCAATAAGCCAACTGCTGCATGGAGACGCTGAGCGAGGAAAATCAGGTTCGTTGTGCATTGGAGGTAGTGCGGGGAAAGCTGGTGATTGGCTGAGGCGTATACCTGTAGCCTGGGTATTGCAGTTGCTGCCGTTCGTCGGGCTAAGCGAGTATAGCAGCTGCGAGTTGTTCCTTCAAGAGACGGTCTTCACACCTTCGGAGATGAACCTGCAATTCCGATCATTCGATGTGCTGCGCGAAAATAAGCCCTTGGCGTTTAGCTTGTCGAAGTTTTGGCCCCCAGCTTCCTTATCCAGTAGCGAACCTTATCGGTGTCAGCCTTGGGTCAGCACGCCTTTCTCAAAGGCTTACAGATCCAGCGTATACACAGCCCGTATGCTGAAAAACGAGCTGATAACAGTATTGCTCTGATTGGCTCTGCAGCAGTCTCCCGCCCCCATCTCGCGCATTGAGATCTGACCCTTCATTTGGCCTCAAGCCTTCGGATTGGATTTCCCCATCCAGCGCTGACATTGCAGGTGCGACATTTGCGTTACTATCTACATTTTACCGCAGGTCGAAAGGCGATATTGGGGTAGCTGCACGAAGGTTGCTTTGGTGGCGCATATAGCAGTGGGGCTGAGCAAGTTGGTGTGCTACCCTCTGAAGCTGTGCGATCTCCAGCTTGCAGCAGACTGAAGAAGAGAATTCGACTACCCCGAGTTTCAAGTCCCTACGCCCGCAGTATTCAGATCCACAATGAATAAACTTTCAAAGAATCCTTTGCCGTCGAAAGATGTGAAGGAGGTAATGAACGACGAGCACGAAATCAGAAGGTTTCAGCTGTTCAAGAGAACCACAGGTGGTGCTTTGCGCTCGACACTGTCTGTGCCCACCCAATACAACAGTCAGCGTGGAGAACTCAGGACCATACCGAGCAAGTAAGTTTCCCAAGTGCAGCACCCTACCGCTCGAATAACGAGAAACTCATGCTTGGAAAGCGAGCTTGAAGCTGTTCTCAGCAAGGCCAGTACGTTGTTCCCTGGATGCAAAACGGAGAATTGTACGTGGGATGATGTCTTCGATCAAATCGATGCTGCGAACGCGGCGTACGAAGCCAAAGCTCCAAAAGGTTCCTTTCGAAACTTCATTCGAGGTGGCAAGGCAGATGCCAGGACACTCGACTCTCTTTGCTCCATAATCCCAGAAGAACAAGGCCTTGGTGTCTTACGCGGAGGATTGTCGTTCTTCTTCCAGGTATCATTGCTCCGTATCGAGATTTCTTATATTAGCTGACGGTTTGTCCAGGCCTGGGAACAACACATCGAGAACCGAGAGAAGATACTAGAGCTACTCGCAGACGTTGTTGATACTCTCAAGAGGACAGCCGAGATGTATGAGGTATTTCGAGATGGTGAACTGAAAGTGAAGACGTGGGATCTTTACGGTATCATCGTTGATTCCCTGAAATTGCTTATCGAGATGCTGCTTCGTTACCGCAAAGAAGACTCACATAAGTTTTGCTCCATCTGATATAAAGCGTCAAGCCCTCAGCTTCGATAGGCTTCCGCCGTATAAAGTCACGGCTGCCGGAATACGAAGCTGCCGTGTTGGAGGGACTCAATCATAACATCCAAAACGCCAAGGCCGGGGTAAGGATGAGAGTCGACATTCTCAGCGCACAAAGCCTGCAGCAAATCCGCAAGGCGACTTCCGCTATCGGTACCGAGTTGCACGCAACGCGCGCTCAAGTTCATAAAGTATCGCATGGGGTTAGGCTTCTCGATGGGGAAACGAAGACACTCAACCGAGGTATAAACGAAGTCTTGGAGCAAGGCACTTCTCTTGATGGTAAGGTTGATGTTCTGGATGAGCATCTCACATTGGTGCAGACCAACGTGATGAAGACATGTAAAGAGATGAAAGAAGACAACAAGCAAGGATTCCTGAGAATAAGCGATTGCATGTCGATGATGGTATCCAAGAATGAGGTTGCTGCTATGGTTCAGACTGAGCTGTACAAGTTATTAGCCTCGGAAATGGTGTATCGATCAAGTAAGTCGAGTCCACATTTATGGGCCCAGTCACAAGCTCATCCATCTCTAGGGCAGCCTGTCCAGCAAGCTGTTAGACCCGAGGTCGTCGCGAAGGAGCGACGCCTTGCCCAGCGGACAATCTCAATGACAACAGAAGAGCTTCTGTGGACGCTCGGCGTGGACCTCGGCTACTTGAGCGGCGAAACAGAGCATATCTTCAGACAGAGCAACTCTTTACGACAAAAGGGCCTCGGTAAGGCGCGATCGCTGCTCTCGACTGCGCAGTTCAAGCACTGGCTTAGTCATCCGTTCTCTGGGATCCTCCTGGTTGATGGATATTGCAAAGACGATGGTATCGGAAAGATATCTCCGTTGTCCGTTTTGTGTGCTTCTTTAGCAACCTCACTCGCTCAGACAAGCTCCAGTATGATCCTACACTTCTTTTGCAGCAGTCATACCAGAGTTGAACAGGACATGATTAGCGGACCATCAGGACTTATACGCAGCCTGATCACTCAACTACTCCTTTATCCTGACTCACCGGACGTCGAGCTAGATCCATTGGAGCAGAGCCTCTACGACGCAGTTTCGCAATACAACGTGCGAGCTTTGGTATCTTTGTTCGGGTCGATCGTGGGGAACATGGATAAGTCAAAGACCATCATTTGCATCATAGACGGCATATCCGATTTCGAAACACCGCTTCGTGGTTGGGACCGAGAAATCCTCGATGTCGTCGATCAGCTTCAAAACCTGGTGCACTGTCAGCGATCTGGTCCAGCACTGAAGCTGCTCATGACTAGTGCAAACAAAGCGCTGCACATTGGATCGCTAGTGCGTCGCGAACATGGGGAATACGTGTCCTTACGGTCAGGCAATGTCAGCGATAGGCCTGTGCGTGGGTTCGGATTCAACCAGGACGTCCAGAGAATGCTGATGCCATCGTCGCAGCAGAGTAGCTTTCTAGAGCCTGGAGGCTGGGATGCGCAAGCAAACGCGTCGCAGCGAGGATACGCGCATGTAGGGCGACCACGCTCTTCAGGAAGCAACGTTCCGGGTGGCTGACAGGCGTTTGGAGTTATTGTGGAGAGATTATCGAGTGGCACCGTGATACTGTAATTTATCGAGCGAATTGCGAATATGGTCGTGCAGACGTACCGCAGGGCACGCGATGGGTGGATGACATTCCACGGTTGGCATGGTGTTCCGCTCACCTCTCGATGACGCACAAGCGGGCTTCGGCGAAACGTGTTTCCGAAGCGTTCCGGGGCCCGGGCCGCGCGCAATGCAGCAGCGAGGGCTTAGATGTGCCAGCCCTCTCACCTTTGGGCAGCCGACAATGAATTGCAGCAGTACCTTCAGCCTAACAGCATCTTTTTGTGTTCGCGCTCGTCTCTGAATGGGTCGACTGTATGAATTTGTGTGGTACTTTGCGCCCAGCCTGACAGCAGCCTGGCTGCTCCGTCTGCCCACGACGACCCGAAGCGCGATCGACCAGTCTGCTTCTCCTGTCAAGACCTCGCATCATGGACAACGCTCAGCTTATCACTTCAATAGGATCAGGCGAAACTTGCTGTGCCAAGATATGTTATGCAACCCCAGCTTCTCACTGAATACACAGAGTCATTGTGTTCAACATTACCAGAAGCTGGATCTAGCGAAACTGCCTTTCGCGACAGGCGTCTCCTTCGATTCCTCCGGCAAAGAGCACACTGCACGATGTCTATCGAACACCCGCACCGAGCTGCTAGACGAAACAACAACATGGACGGACAGCAAGGACGGGAACTCTGTATCCTGGCTGAGCGGCATGGTGGGCATAAATGGGAAAGTCTACGATAGCGCAGACGGTCTCTCAGTTGAGGACAGCTCGGAGCAAGCTTCTTCTTCAAGAAGGCGATGGCAAGCGCGGCAACGCTTCACGGCATTACACCACCGTCGCCCTGTGCCGCTGCGGAGTACATCATTCGACCAAAGCGGCAGCCGTTGCGGTGGGCGTAGACAATATGTGGTATGGAGAGGTAAGGAGTCGAGACTTGCAGCGCGTGGCGATTGTGGAGCCGCATCGCTACATCATCAGACCAAAGGGATATCTCAAACCTCGCTCTTCCGTGCCTCAGCCTTGCGCAACCCTTTCGCTCGCACTTACCCACGTATGCGAACCGTAACGTATCGGGTTATCGGCAGTTTGTACAACGGCGGATGCTGCGATGTGAACTGAACGTCACCAATAGACCATTTTGTACCTCGTCTCTAGCCAATCGCAACATGCCCTCTGCGTCTTCAAATCTTCAGCCTGCTCTGATTACTATCGCGCTAGGTCTAGGCCTTGCAGTCCGTATCGTGGACATGGAGAGACACTATAGTCAACGCCTTGCAGGAGTCCACCACGCAGTTGGAGCAACGCCACACAAAGCCCTGTCGTGTATCGCTCAACGGTGACCTAACCTTTCAGCCACGCTATACGCGAGCTGAGGGCGAAGGGCAAAGAGCACAAGGCTGAAAACATGACGGGACGCGTGATCGGTGGAGTTCCGCATATCGCTCCGCACAGATCGGTACAATCAATGTGTATTGTATGCAATGTGAGCACATCACTACCCATTGTTAGGCCCCTTACGCTTCCGTGAAAAATTGGCACGCATCCGCGGAGGGCTTGACATCAAGTCATGTCAGTTGTAGACAGCCAGTGTATATCCCACATTCAATTCATTGGAGAGAAGGAGTATCGGGCTTAACAACACTATATGCAGGACGCCCCTATGTTACCTATCAATGGATGTTGCACGGCATGTTCAAAGTCTCCGTGGAGGTGACCTAACTTCCTGGCCGCCGTCTTGAAGTATAAGGTGCAAACGGACCTGGACCTCACGTCAAGTACCAAGCTCATTCTTCACTTACTTAAGTGTGTAATAGTGTCAATGGACGACTGCTGAGTGTTCTCACCACCCCGATTATAGATATCACGAATCTCGCCCAGTCAAAGATAGTAACAACTCTCACAACCAACAATGACCGAACAAAAGACCATCGCCCTCATCGGCTCCACAGGCTTCCTAGGCCCCTACATCACCGCCTCTCTCCTCCAAAAACACCCCCACACCACCATCCTCTGCCTGAACCGTAGCAAAGACGCAGAAAAACGCACCACCTCCTCCCTATCCTACATCAGTAACGAAGACCTCACCCGTCTCACCTTCCTGACAACCGACATCACACTCCCCAATCTCGGCCTACCCCCCACCCAATACACACACTTCACAACCAGCGTCTCAGATATTGTTTTCAATGCGTGGAACGCAAATTGGGCGACGCCTCTCATCGGCTACCTACCCCTTCTCAACGCTGTCCGACATGTTACCGATGCATGTATCGACAGCCCCCTAAACCCACGCGTAACCTTCATTTCGTCGAACACTTCGATAATGAACCACCCAACCCAGCACCCTTCCACCCCGCTCATCCCTGAACAACCCGCCTGGGATTTTTCCAGTGCAGCAAATACGGGATATGGCCAGAGTAAATGTCTCGCGGAGCAACTTCTCGCCCGTGCAGGGAAGGAACATGGGCTACGCGTAGCTATCGTCCGTGCAGGTCAGATCGGAGGCTCATCGTCCGCAATACCCAATGCGCCGCAGTGGCCAATTCAGGGCTGGTTGTGGGTGATATTCAAGACAAGTCAAAAGTCGGGGTACTGGCCCGTGAGGATGAATGCTGTGGATTGGATTCCTGTGGATTCGTTAGCGGAGGGTATCGCCAATGTCACGTTATCGCCGCCGAGGTCAGGCTCTCACACAGATACGGTTAAGGTGTATAATATGATGCACCCCCGTCCCGCGCCTTGGGCGTTGCTGCAGAAGGTGTTGGTGGAGCGATTTGGACTTGAGGTAAGGGAGTGTAGTTTGCCGCAGTGGTTGGGAATGTTGGATCCGCAGAAGTTCAAGATGCATGCGTTTATGATGGAGGCGGGGGAGGGTAGGGAGGGCGAGGCGATGGTTTTTAGGAATGAGAATGCGATGGAGATGTTGCCGGAGGTTGAAGGTGTTACGGAAGTGTTGGTGGAGAGGTGGTTGAGGGGGTGGGGTTTGAGGCTGGGGGAGGTGAGGGCGAGGCTTTGAGCGTAGGTCAAGGATATATAGAGGTTGACACGTGGGTGTTAGTCAGAGGGCACAGTGAGAGACACTGGGTGAGATGAGTCAACATGAAATGGATAGTTGTCATTTCTTAGCGCTACATATCATGCAACTGCGCTATACGGTCCTGCCGTCAAGTACTCAACGCGTACCATCTACAAAGTCTGCTTGCCTCTCGTCTCAATAGGCAGCACCAACATACTAAAGAACGCCGCAATGAACAATCCACCACTGGCGTAAATCGGGGCCTTGGGGTTACTTCCACCAGCCTGAATAGCAACAATGGGCGCGCAAAGACCAGCAACGCGGTTCAAGAAACTGCTCATTCCAGTACCAGTGCCACGGATTGGGGCAGGGAAGACTTCAGGTGTGTACGCGTACAAGACACCGTACATGATGTTCTGGAAGAAAGCCTCGAGACAAGTGAAGGCAAGTTGGAAGTCGGAGTCAGAAGAGATGGTGAAGAGGAAGACGAAGACACCGGTAATGACGGTGGCGATGGCCATAGTGCCCTTGCGGCCGACGTACTTGAGGTCGACGGTGTAGCAGGCGAGGATGGATCCGGGGACTCCGACGATGGCGGTGATGGCGTAGTTGCGGTAGACGATGCTGATGTCGTTCTCAACTCCGCCACCCGAGTTCTTGAGGTACTGCGGGAGGAAAGCGTTGAACAGTGGGTAGGCCATACCGATAGTCGACCATTGGAACCAAAGTAGTGCAGTAGTAAGACCAATCTTCTTGTCTTGGAAGAGAGTCCTGAAACGCTTCATCGAGAAACGGCTGAGGGAGCGCTTGATGATCTCGAAGACGCTGAGCTTGACGTCTTCTCCGGTGACTTCTTGGTCGCCGCCGATTTGGTTGAGAATGTCCTCGGTGAGCCAAGTGTGCGTCTTGTTGTAGTCCGCAATACCGTAGACGGTGGCGACAGCCTCAGCCTGACGACCACGCGACAACAGGAACTTGGGTGACTCGTAAAGATGGAAGAGGAAGAAGCGGCAGATGAACATGAAGAACGTGATGGCGCCGAGAGTCAGAATGAGGTATCGCCAGCCCATGTTGTCTTCCATGCGGCATTGTCCGAGGGGAGTACCGTCGGCGCACGAGAAGTTGGGAATGAATGCCCATGCCACTGCAAACGTTAGTAAGTGATGGGTATAGCTAGCGTCATCGACTTACGGAGCGAGGCAATCAGATTACCGACGGGCCAGAAGATGGAAAGGAGCGTGAGGAGGTTTCCCGATGTTTGAGGCAGAAATTCGAGGAACAAAGCGCCGTCAACTGGGAGGTTACCACCGACACCAAGACCAATGCAAGCGTATAGTGCGCATGTGCCGATCCAGTTGGGCCCGCCGCCGGATGCAAGACCAAAGACACCAGCGAGGAAAAGAGTAAAGTTGAAAGCGAGACGGCGACCGATAATGTCAGAGGCGGTACCCCAGAAGGAAGCGCCAATGCAGAGACCAAGGAAGAGCGCTAGTGTGGTGTATCTGACTTCCGTCTCGCTGACACCGAACTCAACGCTGAGTTGTGGTAGTGTAAGAGCAACACCCTGTATCTTGGTAAGTCCTGTTTGTTGATGAGGAATTTGACATGCGCACCTGCAGCCACAAGTTGTCGGCCATCCAACCGCCACCGCAAAGAGCAAAAAGCTGCCATTGGTAGCGGCCCATGCCCATATCTTGCAAGGCTTTGTTGATAACCTTGGACTTGCCTGTGGAAGATCAGTACTGTTTCCTCGTGAAAATTACCGGAGGTGATAGGAAAAGCCACACGACGTACGGTCATATGGCGTGTCGTTGTCCGAAGCAGCGACCTCTGCTTCAATCTCTGCCTTCAATGCTGCGACTGTCAAGCCATGGTTAACAACACCACTAGATGCATTACTGTCAGGGCGCGTGAGGCCATCTTCTGGTTTGTCGTCTTTGGTTGTTTTCTCTGTTGCAGCGAGGGAGGCGCGTGGGTGGGTGGAAGCTACAGAAGCGCGATGGGTCGAGTCATCAAGAGGCACATGGACGCCGGGGAATTCGTCGACATGATGAGCCTTGAAGGGATTCACAAACATAGTTCGGACCATCTTGGCGTAATGATGGTGGTGGTGCCGCGATGGAGGATGGGCGTGGAGTTGTTGCTTGGGGTTGGCGCAATGGTAAAGAGGGGTGCGATAATGGGGCAGTCGCAATTGGGATGGTGCTGTCCAGGGTCGTCGAATCGTCGGTGTCGCTGTAATCTGGTGGCGTTGTCGTTTATGTGTCGAACCGTCACGGCGTCTTCACCCAAGCAGGATGCTAAAGGCTTGTGAGGCCTGGAAAAGCTTGTATATTGGATATGGCAAGCTTCCGCGACAGCAGGGTCGCAGGAAATTGATGACAAGAGTTACACGAGCTCGGTCCTGGAGGAGGGTCATGGCCCCTCATATACTCCAGCTCTCCCCGGCGCCGCCCCTGTCAAAAAATCTTTTGGAACGGACAGATGGTGTGGAGTCGTTGGTACGGTGCGCCAAGGTAGCGGCATTAAGGCGCGCGGTGACGTAGTGCTTGGTGGACCAAGCATCAGACCCCATCACGTTCCTCTGCCGTTCACTGCAAAGATCGTCCCACCTCGCCTCTGTGGTTCGCTCGATCCTATTTGGCTTGGCCTTAGCTAATACCATCGGTCTGGTAAGCTTTGCAGTCTCTCTTCTTGTGCGTGGGTGCGCCTGCAGCAGCGCGCCTGATGGGCGCAGTGACAGAACCTTACACGCTCAGCCCTCGATGAACACAACAGCTCACAGACCAGGTGCATCGGTTGACATTGATAGCCACCAGCACAGATCGTCGTTGCTACTACGACGTTGACCTCGCGTCGCGAGGCTGTTCGCTTGTGGCGGACCCGAAGAATTTTGCCGCGTGCCGAAACGCGACTAGACTAAAGACGTGCCGATTACGTTTACTTTCGCAGGCTTCGCACACGCGAAATGGCTAAGAAGACCGGCCTCAAATTATCGCCAGACGTTAATCACACCGATAGTAAGCGGGGTGGCTCGAGTGTTCTCGTCGCATGCCCGGATCAGGCATGACGTCCCAGAGATATCAATCCCAGAAGGCGCGGGATGCCTTCGACCCCAACATCGATGGGAGATCGACATGCCCTGAATGCGCGGCCTGCCACTGCTAATCTACTGGAAAGACCGAGACCGAAACGCTCGAGTTGCAACGAGAAATCTGCCGTTCACTGTGGCAGGTTGTTGGACCCTTGCCCGGCTCCACACCTGCCAACCACTGCAGTAAGTTCACCGGTCTCCTCCGAATGCAACACTTTCCCTGGCAGCACGTGCCGAGGAGGCGCGAAGGTGGACCTGCCCTAAAGCAAGTCGCATCGACAACGGGCAATGTCACGCGACATGCTCGATTCAAGGATTCAGGGCCTTTCTGTTGACCTCGTATCGCCTCGGTACTGTAGTGCTACCCGAATGTAACCTACGTACGACATTACTTGGCGAGAGCAAGATCAAGAGTCTTTCGGTTCTTCTCATCATGTATCGCCTAAGTCTGACACCCACTGCGTCTCTCGAGCGACACCACAGGCGAGGTCGCGAGAACGGCATGTGTCGTTGATGGTTGTATGTGCACTATCCGCCGTTTGTCGGCATCTTCCTAGTGTCAGCCTTACAAAGATACATAAGGTTTGATTCGATCTTTCCATCTCTCCTCATTCCAACTGCCACAGCTTCGCGTCGAGGCTGCCTTGAGGCGAGATGCGCGTTCATCCCAAATGGCAACGGCGAACGTCGTCTGAGGTTGGACGAGGTAGTGGCCCTCGTCATTGATCCGCTCTATCACGGGACAGCCTTCCTTCGAGTGGCATACACCAGCATATTCCATCAACAGTGCCGTGAACACGACCCATCAATAGCACAGCCATCATTTCTATCACTTGTTACTATCAGCTACCAACATGTGCGGCGCCGAACCTCTCGTCAGCATGGACAGCGCTGAAACCGTCGACGTCTTCTACAAGCTACTTGAGGAACGGAAACGTTTTGCAGCATCCCAATCGGTCGAAGCTACACCCAGATGGCCGGCAGCCCGCAATGATCACTACTGCGACCACGAGGTGTGTCACCACGATGTCATCGACCTTTCCTCGCTATGTGAGCCCTCAGATAGCGGCAGCGACTGGCAGCCATACATCACGCGTGACAAGAAATGTCCGATCATCGGACACGAAACTGCATCAGAGGGTGAATATTCCCCGACTGAGAGCTGCCGTCAATATTTCTCTGATGACGCGGATGAGTACGTTGTTGAGGACGTCCAGATCAGGTAGGTGACCTGCTGACATCATATAGCAGCGTCCGTCTCCGTTACAACACACCACCCACAGTCTACGATGACCAAGATCACGGAAGCCGTCGGATGTCTCTGATAGACCCCAAATCAAGCATTCGCGCCCTCCGACAAGAACTCGATAACCTACAGATCAGCAGCGCACAGTCTTGTCTTGACCTGGAAGAGCAGCTCGACAACCTCTCCTCATCGTTCGGCATTTTACGTAGGGACTACCAAGCTCTCTCCGACAAACATAACGAACTCCTGGGGCTTTCGTTGGAGCAGTGCAAAGAGCTAGGCAATCAAGCAAAGGTCTTGATGGAATTGAGCGAGTGGAAGAGGCGCACGGAGAACAGCTTCGCTGCGGTACGCGTTCAAGGGCAAGAACCCGAGGTTTTGTATTTCGACACACCACGTTCGACGTCCACGGCGGAGATCGGCCTGGACGATCTGGGAGCTACTCCTCTCGCAACGGAGAACCAGGCTGTTACATCGACATCGGATGGACGAGACCACGGTGTCGGAGGGATACCGTCACCTCCGGCCATGCCTCCCACGTCGCCTGAACGACGTGCCAGACATCCGCGCTTGGTCTTGAGGTTATCGGCTAAGCCCGCCATGAAGGAGGAAGCCATGGGATCCCCTAGTGCCTTGGTAACGGACGAGCCGCCACGCCCGAAGCGCGTCAGGAGGCCCACGGAGAAGCGCAAGGCCGCTGAGCTGGAGGTCAAGTCGGCAAAGAAAGCGAGGAAACTAAGTTGCAAATCAGCCCTGTTCTGATTACGCGTGTACAACGCCTGATCGATTGTTGTTATGGTGTTGAGGGATTAGTGAGACCATCAGTCGAGGGTGACTTGCAACGAGTATAGCAGCAATACTATCCTTGCTTTTCCCTCACCACGTGCAAAGAAAAAGGAAATTGCTAAACAAAAGCTTGTCTCCCTGCACCGCCACACATGACGATGTTCGCGGCGAGTTAGGGCCTCCGAAGGTTTTCGGGGCTGAGCCACCCTGCGACACTTAACATCAGCGCTATCCGCCCTTTTCTGAACGTCTAAATCTGCGGAAATTCGTGTTGGCATTTTATGTGTGCCAGATCCAAGGGTGTTTCAATCGTCAGCGCGCTGTTGGGATATCGCATCGGGGGCGAGGTAGTTTCGAGCGCCAGCGTGAGTAAGATTATGGTATGATATTACTATATGCTTAGATGTACGCCAAAGAGCTAAACTGTGTGAACGTAGAAAAACGGCCCGAGAAACAGACACGCGATGTAGACTACACTGCGTGCGAGCGCACCATCGCTCGCTATCAAAGTCCGAGGGACATTACCGCTGGGTGCATACTCGTCTACTACCGAGTTGAACCCAGCCTTGCGGCTGCGATAGTAGCGCAATGGATGTAGAGATCACCAATTCGTTGACCAGATGTTACAGATCTGATAATCTGTTCCTTTCTCCATTTTCTGAAACGACACGCCGGTGCGCGTTCACGATTCTGCCGGATGTAATACACACCATTGTCAAAACGCCAGCGGCGGCATCATCACGATCCATCACCGGTAGCATTCCATACATCCGGCTCTCCCTGCGCGTAAACGTCTATATGCAAATCCTGCCAGTCCCAAATCTGCTCCATACCACCCATGTCGACGGCAGCCGGATCACCGACCGTGCCAAAGGGGTTCTGGGCTAGGAACTGATCGATATCGAAGGACAGCTCATCCGAGATCGTCATCGACGGAAGATCGCCAGCAGTGGAAAGTACCGGTGCAGCAGTCGGCTCCGGCAGCGCTGTGTTCTTCACCGGTGGCATCACAGCTACAGGCGCAGGCTCATGCGCCGGCACCGGCGGTGTTGTCGTAGGGACCGAGGAAGAAGTTTGTCGTTGCCGCTTACTAGCTGATGAGTACCGCGAAAGCTCTGGTGTGGCCTGCACGAGCTTGAAGAGGAAGTTGTACGATGTAGCGCCTAGTTTCGTTGTCCCGCTGAGCTGATGCAGCATATCCAGGGAGCTTTCGATTGCATCCACAATCTCTTCGCGATGAGGTAGAAGGTGCTCGCGATCGTGTATAATAGCCGAGCAGAGCAGAGTCGCCGTGTCGAAGATCGCGAAGACTACCATGTGGAACTTCGCGTTGATGGGGAACTCGTGGTCGAAGAGCTGGCGCGCTACTTTCAGAAGTCGCAACGCGATATCCACACCTTTCCTCCGAAACTCGTCGTCTTGATCAGCTATCGCGTCTTTTCGTTCGCGGGTCAGGTAGGGCTTGAAGAAATTCAGCATCGTCACGAAAATGACGCAATGTAGCTGACAGCGCTGGAACACGAAGAAAGGATGGGACTCATCAAACGAGGTGTCGGGGTCTGTGAAGCGGAAGATGGGTGGCAGCTCCTCGATGAACTTTTCGCATTCCGCTTCTATTGCCAAGACCTGTTTGTCTGAAAGAGCGTGTTCAGATTGGGCATTCCCCATGGTCGCGGCGATCCTACGACCGAGGTATGCTTGAAGGGCGATGTGTGCGAAGGGTGATAGTAGGTTTGGCTCCGTGGTCGACTTGTCGAGCCGTAGATTGGGGAACTTGAAGTCGAGATTCTTCTGGTCGATGAGGTTTGGACGGCCGAGCCATGCTGACATTTGCCTGCGCGAGAGTCAGGTGATGCTTCAAACCAATGCAGGTTTGTACTTACCAGTCCCAGATGTACAGCAACGTCCAGAGACGTCTCCTGATCTCGATATCAAACTCGCACAGGCCTTCGATACCTCCATCCTTATCGATGCCCAGCTCTTGCGCTTCCCGGATCGTGCGCGAAAGCGCATGCCACGACTCTACGATCTTGGACTCGGCTTTCAACCAAACGCACTTCAAAAACAGCTCTTGCACGCGTTCAACGCTTGTTCTCGCTGCACCAAAACTCCGGCTTAGCTCTTCCGCTGCGTCGGAGAACCGGTCGGTCAGAGTTTGGCAATTGCAAGCCAACTCAAACTCAATCATCTTGCGGAGCGCGGGTGTGAGGTACTGGACTGAGTACGCGCAGATCCTCAGGAGCAGACAGGTGAATTCTGGAGAGAGTTGCTTGCCGGCACCGCGATCTGCCCACCATTGGACATACTGTTCGGCTAATGTTGGCCCGTATATTGCAGTGTAGCGGTAGTTGACGACATTGAGGAAGTGATTAACGAACGCGTCTGCTCATGGTTAGAGAATGGATCGCCAAGATCTCGCGATGTTTGTACCTACCCGTTATTGATCTTGGTGGAACGGCTGAAAGGACTTTCTCAAGAACGTCCGTCGTAACGGAGCTTTCTGTCGGTGAGTCTTTTCGCGGACCGTTCTTGAACGCGTTAGTTGATATCAATGTTTCGAGAAATGGTCTTACCTCTTCCACCCCGCCTACTTTGTAGTGCACATGACCGGGCATGTACCCCCACGCTTTCAGCCCATCTTCGAGCTCTTCCTGCTCGCCATCCTGCGACAGAAATTGCGGCTCTGCAGAGTCAGGAGCGCTTCGTTTGGTGCCTTTGATGCTGGAGGCTGAATTTTCACTGCGCAATCGCTGTTACTACCGCGTTCCGCTAATGGCGGGGTAGGCAGGACGATCTACATACCGAGACGACTCTGGAGAAGGCTCCTGCTGCCCTCTTTTGACAGAGAATTGACAAAGATGGGGTACTTTTCGTGCCTGACAGTGATTGCAGGGCCATTCTCGCGAGCACTAGCCGCGTCATTAGTTCAAGGGGTAGATGCAGGGTCAATATGGAAAGTCGTCACCTTTTGCTTCCTCCGTTGACACTCAGTACAGGACGTCGTCGCGCGACTGTCTTTCAGCGATTGCATGGTCGTCATTACACTTGATTGAAGACCGGTCAAGATTGAGTAGTTCAAGGTTTATGAAAGCATGGCGAACGGACGAATCCAACGCTGTTGAGTTGTGGATCGGACCCTAAGACCGACCCCACCAGATCCACAAGAGCCGCCGCGCCACCTCCACGGGCCGAAGTTTTGGAGCCAGCCAGAGCTGACCCTGATTTCTCAGCACGTCATGTGATATGTGGCGACGCTTTTCCGTACGAGAAACTGTAATGTCTACGCGAGCGGAAACCTCAATTCTGCAGGATCGACGGAACCTCCGACATTGGCACAGTTTGCCCAGGCGGCAGTTGATTAAATCGCGCGGCTGTGCCACAATCCGGTGGCTTTGCTGACTGAAGGCACAGCGAGAACGTTTGTCCCTTTCGACCTCACTCATACGACTAGTAGTGTCGCCTACACGTCCCTGGCATTAGTTCTACGGATCTGCGCGCATCGTCTAGACCGCGCGAGGCTCGCTTGCGCATTTCGGGGTACCTTCCAGAGTCCCCCGATGCCGAGCATCCGTGGATGTCACCTGACGACACGGCCCGTCCACGGTCGCGCATCGAGGGCCATTAGGAGACATTGACATACTGATGGCATGGTTATAGGTTCAATCACTTTATGGCATCGCGTTGGAACAGTCACGGTCATGTTAGAAAACCTCCCTGGTGTTGCCTTGGCTAGTTCGGGCATGATGTCATCGCACCTCAGATGCTGCTTGCAGCCTGGCAGCTAATCTCAAAACACCACGATGTCGGCACATGGTGACATCCAAGGCTAGCAGCTTCAAACGTCTTCAAGCATATAACCCAGGTCTCAAATGCCACTTCAGCCTCTCCCACGGCAGCGCCTAGGACGCCGCTTTCGACTTCATGGCACGCGCCCTGCCTCTGATACCCTGGTCAAAGACCTCAATCCTTACTTGTCGCATGCACCCGTCTTCCTCACGAATAGCACAACACGCAGCTCTGGATCTGTTCGTACTTGGATTTCCTCAACAAGCCAACGTACTTCTCAACACAATCCATGAATACGGTCTTGACACGACGACAAGCAGATATGCCGGCCGCATGAGAGTCACCACCGAGAAGCAGTTGCAAGGGGCTTGGTCGGCCAGCGATTCTTTCCCAACGTGGGCAGACAAGCCAGACGCTGCGCTCGCGGAAATCATCAGTACCACGGGTTTACCCAAACACATAGCAAGGAAAGCAGAAGAAAGGACGCTCAGTAAGGAAGATGTGGACGACGCGCACAAACGCTTGAATGCAAACCCAGATGCCATTTATCAGCCTCCGGGAGAGACTATGACACTTGGCGCGGTGATACAGGTTGCGTTACTTGCAGGCGAAGAGCGTCTAGCTACCAGCTTGATCGAGAACAATATGAAAGACCTATACCAGTACTTGCTGGACAGTTGGAACGTTTCCGATATCAGCGGAGACGAGGCCAGAGAATGGATTCAGCGTCGCCAGGGCTTGGAGCATTGTCCAGGCATATGGGACATTCTAGCCTCTGCGAAACTGGGGGAAATGTTTGATCTGCGTGTGGCAGACGTGGATGCATACGTCAAAGAGGGTTGCGCCCTCTTCAAGCAACGTTCTATCGAAGGCCCTGCGCGCCCGTATCTGTCCACGTCGATCGCCGAGCTAGTGCAGATGATTGAAAACAACATCTTCACCCGACGCAAAGACGACGGTGAAGACGATATCACCCCAGTTCTCAGGCCCGGCGCGTCAGAAGCTCAAATTGCCGCCCTCGAAGCGCGTCTCTCCTTGCCTTTGGCCGACGATGACTGTGATGATTACGGCGTCGCACTTCTCAATGGAAAGCTTCCAGATGACTACCAAGAGTTTCTACGCGCAAGCAACGGTATCGGGAAAGATATCTTCTTCGGTGCCGATGACGTCAATCAAACCGGCTGCTGGATACTTGACAATGGCTACAATCTATTTCCTTTCCGCTATAAAGATTATCACCAACATGATGAAGAAGACGAACTGGATCTTATTAGGCTAACCGTGTACCCGGAGTTCGTCATCGGCACTGGCGAGATCTATGGCACTGTCAGATTTATACCCCCTACCTGGACCAGGCCTTTTGTTAAGAAGTTCGAGAAAGCATATGCGGAGGCAGATGAGTCTAAGAAGAGACTCTACGAGCGTGCAGCTCTAGATATGTATGGTGGTATAGAGCAGCTCAGGGCGACGGAATGGCTGTGTGTCGAGTACCGGCCCTCTGAATTCCAGCACAGGATTTGGGGTGGGCTGAAGCCTTTCCTGGAAGAGTATGTCCAGAGGGGAGTCGACGATAGGGAGGAAAGACAGAGACGGGAGAGGAGAGACACGAAGAAGGAGCAGGAAAACAAGGGTTGAAGAGGATTGGGAAAACGGTCAGCCTGATGGGTCGAGTGAGGACACCAAGTCCCTTCGTGCGACGTAGGATTTGTAGTCGTCATGTGGAGGCTGTGACCCCGCCTTAAGCTCACTGTCAGCCTCGCAGTGGCGCAGTCGCGGCTTCCTTGGTTCAGGTAGGCACCATTGCTGGGATCGGCAATGACTCCTTCTTTAACCGGTAGTGTCGGCAAAACTCGGTGTGCGACGGGCCTTTGGCTGCATGTCAGCACTGGTCTCGCGTATAAAGACCGCAAAGCCTCTGGCAGACGGAGAGCATTCACGCGCTAAATCCCCAAAGATCTGAACGCGAGAGACCTAACTACACTATCGACGCCGTTTCTATGTCCATGAGACTCCGATTCGCATGGCTCTGCAACCTTTCTAACAAGACAAAAAGCCAGTTTTACGACAGCTTGGCGCGCTTTTCAACATTTTCAACGATAGACGAAAGACCGAACAATGTTACAATTACAAATCGAGGTGCCAGAGTATGACAAAGGATGGTCACGGTTATCAGGAGATATAAGCAGCGGAAATACTGCGGCGTTGAAAGTACTGTTCAAATATCACGGAGTCGACCCAAATTTGCAGGAAGAACATGGCTACTCTCTACTGCACAGCGCGGTGCACTCTCGCTCAGAAGTTGTTGTCAAACTGTTAGTTGAGAAAGAGGAAGTCAATGTCAATATACGCGACAACAAAGGTCGAACTCCGTTGTGGGAAGCTGTCTCGCGAGGCTACAAGGCTGTCGTTGAGCTATTGCTAGACAGCGATAAAGTGGACCCCGATGCGAAAGATGACAACGGCCGAACACCACTATTTGCCGCAGTGATGGGTCGAAGTGGCATCTCACTATCCGCTACTATAACGGGGCAAGGCTTTGTAATACCTCCGACCATAACAGCGGTGGAGGGCATCGTAGAGTTGTTGCTTGCTAGCGGAAGAGTTGACCCGGACGCAAAAGATGCACGTGGTCTTACGCCTTTAGCGTGGGTCTCGCGAGATGGGGACGGGTCGATAAAAATTGCCGAGATGTTACTCAGTACTGGTAGAGTGGATGCGAATTCTAAGAACTCGCTCGGCATAACACCTCTGTTGTGGACTGCGCCATCTCACAACGATAAGATGCAGGATTTTCTGCTCAGCAGTGGCAAACTCGATGAAGACATGGGGCCAAGCAAGGGCTCCGGCGACGTCGACTCTCGATACATCACTCATTGGATAAATTCATGCGACGCCCAACATGGAACACGATGTAAGCCAGCATCTCTCAAGCACAAGTCAGCTCAGCAATTGCCGCATTGGGTTATCGACGTCGGCCGAGAGTGCTTGGTCCCTGGGAATACTGTACCGCGTTACGTTGCCTTGAGCTACGTATGGTCACAAAAGTCTTTCAACGCCAGGGATAAAAAGCGTTCAACTGATAGTATCTTGTTGAAGAAGCTCAATCTATCAGCTTTCCAAAAACCCGGTCATCTGAAACACGTATGGTCGCAACTCCCCACCGCTGTCAAGGATGCCATACTGCTAGTCCGCAGGCTCAAAGAGATTTACCTGTGGGTCGACTGTTTATGCATCGTCCAAGACGACGAGAAGACAAGAGAGCAAGTGGATCATATGGGCGATATATACTCTGGTGCATCTTTTACCATCATAGCGGCAACTCATCGCGGCCAGCTATCTAGCTCTTGGGTTGAAGCTAGAGGACATGACGAGGTAGAACACATGTACGACAAACTCTACGGTTCCAAGTGGGCTACCCGTGGCTGGACCTTCCAGGAGCAGATGCTCTCAAAAAGAGCCATTGTATTTACCGATCGCTACATGTTTTGGGAATGTCAGCAAGATGTTTGGAGCCCAGACGGACCAAATCCGGAAATGACTGGGACCAGAAGTGCTACCTTTACAGTCCCACACTACGAGAAGGCTAGCCGTATGCTATCTAGCTGTTACCCTGACTTCGACCTATACACTGAGATGATCAGTCTTTACAACAGTCGCGTGTTTACATACCCCCAAGATGTTTTACCAGCCTTTTCTGGTATTCTGACAACCCTCGCACCTAACTTTCCTTCCGGATTTCAGTATGGTTTACCTCGCGTTTATTTGGACATCGCACTCTTATGGCAGCCCTTCCATAGAACACGTCGCAGAGTAAGAGAAGATGAAGACACAGGTATCATAGCGCCGAAAACGCATCTGCCTTCATGGTCATGGTGCGGCTGGACCTGTCCTGTTGACCCGTATCATCTTCGGACACGATCCTCATACTTCAGTTACAACAGTCGCGCCTCTGAAATGCCGGTCTGGAGAACGCAAAAGCTCGTACAGTGGTACTGTCTACCCGAAGATATGCATTGCCAAGTACCAGCAGATGGCCCATTGTTCTCCCTAGATAGAGCGTGCATCGACATCAAAGACGACGAGCTCTCAAATAAACCAGCGACTCATATTAACGATGACTGTCGCGCGAGCGAAGGAACTGCGGAGACCATTTATTCAGCTGCTGAAGAAACAGCCCCGTCACCCCCTCTCAGTACCACCCCGCATACTGCAAATCCGCGATGCATTTTCCATCCTCAGGACTCGTGGCCTTTCCTTTCGTGTCAGACATCATGCATGTCATTATACATTGGAGCTGTGCATCGTTCCTTTCCGGGACGAGGAGCACAACTAAGGAGGGTTGATGGATGGCCGTCGATATTTAAGCTTCCACAATTCGCGAAAGCGCCAACACTAGACAACACATGCGACCTAGTCTGTCTTGGAACCCAGGAAGGACTCACAGCCGGTACGCTGCGGCATATGGAGAAGGCTAAACTCGAGCTCGGCGATACCGTGGAGCTCATAGCCGTATCTACAGGAACTGTCAACTCCACCGGTGTTGAAGGTGACGAAGAGGATAAGCTGTATAGATTTGTGATGGAGGCATTTGTGGGCAGTGGCCCGGTGTATGCAGAGACTTCCGAATATCTGGGTCAGTACAACGAGTCTGCTTCTATCCCAAGCGATGCCGAGCTAATCAACCACTAGAAGTCAAGAAAGAGATGGAGTTGTATGGTGAAGAAGGCCCAGATGGACGGGAGTACCACTTCTACAACGTGCTATGGGTTGAACGTGAGGAAGGAGTAGCATACCGGCGTGCAGCAGGACGCGTACCGAAGGCGATATGGGATGCAAATTGTACTCCGCTGACGAAGATCATCCTTGGTTGATCACGGTCGATCGATAGACAAGAATGCATCTCTACTTCGCCTCTACGCCCGCATCACTCTCTCGCATTTGTAATCAAGACCCTGGTCGGGTAAGCGGCACCACATGCGTAGAGGCGGGCCAGCCAGCCTGGCGCTATGAGCATGCTAACACATCCCCAGGAGTAAGGCAAAGATGCAAGCATCGCGGCGATCGCATCACTCGTTCATATTTCGGACGAATTGCAACGGTGTCGGCCTTAGAGAGCGCGACAGTGCCATGGGCGACAATGTGATGATATGCAGTCAGCATGTGCGTAGTGCAAATCAGATAGTTCGGCATGCGAGAAGGAAGTGATTGGAAATCAACAGTACGTCATGCGTGCGTTTCCGGACGAATGACAATGATTTTGTCCGGACGAGATCATGATCCCGTAGAGGAACGACAAGCAATAAGTAGGATGAAGTTCTGTCGTCTGCTACTCAAGAACATTGAAGGTTGACCACCGACTAGGCTGCTACTCAACTCTATTACACTTCCAGAACAACTATCAACATGGTCAGGATATTTGCGTAAGCTTCACTCAAGCTTTTTTAAGATACACTCGCTAATCTTCGCGTTCACTCTACAGCGTCGGGATCACTGGATGGGTCGGCAATGCAAGTGCCCATGCGATCGCAGCTGCGCACCCCGAATACGAGTGGACGGTGCTCATCCGCAATAAGGCCAAAGAAGAGAGTGTGAAGAAATTCCTGCCCCAAGGAACACGTTTCGTGATTGGAGACTTTGACAGCCACGATGTCATCTCCTCCGCGGCAGCTGCCGCAGACATAGTCATCAACTGGGGCAGCAGTGACCACGAGCCGCTGAACAAGTCCATCTTCGACGGCATGAAGAAGAACAAGTCCACCTGCTACCTAATCCACACCTCAGGCTGCGGTATACTCACCGGTGAAGTCGCCAGAAGCGGAACCTACGGCCAGGCTACCACCAAGATCTACGACGACTGGGACAATGCGAGCGACCTCCTCACGCTCCCTCCCGAAGCGCCACACATGAACATCGACACCATGATCGTAGCACTCGACCGCGAAACGCCGCACATCAAGACCATGATCGTCTGCCCACCGATCATATACGGCATGAGCCATGCCCAGGACACGCAGGAGCGCAGCGTAGCACGGCAATACGTCAATTCCATCCTGGACCGCAAAAAGGGCTTCGCGGTCGGTGACGGCAACGCAATCGTAAACACATTACACATTACCGATCTAGCGAACTTCTTCGTCAAGGCTACGGAAGCAGCCGCACAGGGCGGTGGCGCAGCAACATGGGGAGGGGTGCAGTCGTACTACTTTGTGGAAAGCGGCGAGATGGTCTGGGGCGAATTCGCGCAAGCTGTTAGCAAAACAGCTTTCGATAGAGGGCTGCTGGATACGCCTGATGTCGACTACCTCAGCGCGGAGGAGGCGATGAAGATTGATCCAATTAGTAAGATTGGTTACGGTTCCAGTGCGAGGTCTAAGGCTGTTCGCGTTTACAAGACTCTCGACTGGAAGCCGCAGATGGTTGGGATCTATGAGGACTACCATTCGAACTGGCGATTCAAGGCGGGCGAACCGCACCTCTTCGTGTAAGAAGCTTTACTTCGTCGAATCTCGTTTGCCACAATAGTCCAGTGTATCGGCTTCGCTGCCGTAGCGTTTGTCACGCGCACGTCCACTTCTTGGCTTTATTGTTCAGTCCTTTCGTTGCGCAAGCGATTAACACGTCCTATGAAGCTGCAGCTAGCTACATCTCTGGTCTGTGAGCAAAAATAAGTGCACAACAGTGAAGCGCGCCATCTTCTTGCGTGATCTGCGTGGGTTTCGCACGAGGCAGACGGCGGGTATGAATTTTGCATGGGCAAAAAGAAGATCAAAAACATACAACAGCGGGGATTCGCTAGTGGTCACCCACCTAACTACTAATCCGCCGGTATCATGCTTGTATATGGCTGAGCGGACGGGAAGCCTAATTTTCATGATCCTATGGTCGTATGTGGAAGTACTGGCGATCTGATCACATATAATGGCGTTGTTGATGGTCGTCCATGTACACGCGAGCGAAGCCGTGTGCGGATGCTCGGATGCTTCTCGGTCTGCGTGACGGTTTTGCGATGGATTTCAGCTGGCCAACGCAGCACAAGTAAACCATGGCATCGCCTAGACCTGCAGCAAAGATAGAGGATGTGTGTTAGAAGTAGAGTGACCCGTGGACTAACATGTCGGTGCCTGATTCCCCTGATGCACGCTCTGGCCACCAGCATCCGCGCATCCGCGCTAGTGTGGGGGAAACACTAGTAGCTTGGCGCCCCTCAGCTTACCCGTGGACCTCGTGACACGCCCGGCTCTCCATGAACCTCCACCTGGGCACCTCCGCAAGGAAAAGTTACAACTCCCGAGGTCACTATCTACGACTTCAGGACGCTCAACATGCCACACGCAGCGGATTCAGACGATCCAACGCTTACCGCCACCCCTGTCGCTGTTCGAGAGGCGCGCAGTCTAGCCAATGAAGCCACGCTTAGCCAATTGACTTCAATGGTGAGCCGCGACTCTGCTGCAGATATCTCTGAAGTCTTGAAGCGAGAGGCAACAGCGTATCCTCGTCTGGTCGATGAGCTCGCTGTAGCGTTTAACTCATCCCCAATTGATGAGACGCACAACAAAGATCCGCAGCCTTCCGTTGCGACTGGGCTACTGGACTTGCCAGTGGATGGCTCTGTGAAAGTCAGTCACTCTTTGAGCGGATCGGTTCTGGGTCTGTTACATGCAACAGCCGAGTGCGACGAAGTATTCAGCCATATACCTAAAGAAATGGCGGCAGCATTCAACCAGTTAATACGCGGCCGAGAGATCCTTTTTCAGTTCCACGACACCTTTGTCATTGAACTCGGGCCGAGCCATGTAGTCAAAGTCGCCCAGTCTCTTGATCCTGATCACATTGATAATACACAATACGTTGCCACACATGTGCCGGAGCTCCCGATTCCCCACTGCCTAGGCGTTTTACGTAGTGACCAAAGGACTCATCTGTTCATGTCCCGAGCAACAGGCACTACACTTGAAAGCGTCTGGCCAGATCTCTCCGCTACGCAGAAGACATCCGTACAGGAGCAGCTGAACTCTTTGTTCCGGCACCTTCGCACTCCTACCGCTGAGGACTCTGGATCCGGTGTACGTCTAGGAAGTTTTACGTCGGGGTCATGCAAAGACGTAAGGAGAACTCAACGCATAAGCTCCGCGCCTCTACGCACCGAAGCGGAGTTCAACGACTTCCTTTTTCAACACCCCAAGAAAACAGTAACGCCATGGGTTAAAATGCTTCGAAGCTCTATGAAGGACGACCATCGCATTGTAATGACTCATGGTGACTTGCACCCCCGAAATATCATGGTGACTCTGGAGGATAGCCAGGCTATTCCAGTGCAGGGTGAGGTGATGCACGCTGAACATGAGGTCGTTCGAGTGTCGGCTATCATCGACTGGGAGGCAGCAGGCTGGTATCCAGAGTCCTGGGAATTCGTCAAAGCCGTGAGCATGATCGATCCTCGTGGCCCCTTAAGTGACTGGATCGACTTCCTGCCCACCGATGCTATCGGATACTTCCCCATGGAATTTTCCATCGACCGTCTGCTCGACCAGTGGCTTGGATGATGAAGGGAATGGCATGCCCTGGAACGCATCGGATTATGGAGCAAGAGATAAGCGGACCCTTACACCTGCGTACAGGTTGTCAAGGTGCCGCCTAGCAGGTACATGGTGACGACGGTTACATTGTCCGCGCGTACACCAAGTAACAATGGCTTCAAGCTGTGTCACTTTAATGTTTGTTGTGAAAGCGCGAGAGTATCTAGGTAGCTCATAGGAAATGTCGAGGTGCGATGCCTTTCGCACGCAATGCCCACTATAGGCGTTGCCTTCATTTAGTGTCGAAATCGTAGTAGACGCAGGATGAAGGATGTCATATCTATGACGCACGAGCTCGGGGCGGTGACAGGGGACCCGCAGCAAGATGGAGCGCGTGGGGAAACAACACCAACAACGAATGCGTAGCAGTCGCACATCATGGCGGACGCGCAACGTAAGAAGCGTAGGAAGTGATCCATGGACCAGAACGTCGATGCGCGAATCCCCCTGACGCACGCTCAGGCCACCAACTCCCGTCGCATCCGCGCTAGTGTGGGGGAAGCGAGATTCGGGTAAGAAGATGGGGCGGAATGTAGTTAGCAGACAGTTTCAAGGTCTTGCATCGAAACATGCTGCCTGCGCGAAGGATTGCTGCTGGGCCTTTTGGCCCCAAGAGTCAAGGCACCTATAACGCAACCCCGGCCGGCTGATCTGGTCGTAACTTCCCAGCGCCAGCCGCACCACATTTTGTCGCAATTTGTTGTCGAGGAGCAAAGTTGCCATAGCTTACCTACAAGACTCAGACCGACTACACCAGATCTCATTACTTTTTCCGTATCAGCACTCATGGCTCCGACGCTGAGAACCAGGGGCAACGCGCAAGCCTCGAAGACTGTTGCTAGTACTGGAAGTAAGAGAAAACGAGGTGGAGCTTCAGCTACACATGCGGATCCGGCGCCAAAGAAACGGAAAGGGGAGAAGACAGCGGATGCTGTTTCCGACAAACGAACAGCTTGCCAGAAAGCTGCTGATGATGAGGCGACAGCGGACGCTGTTCCAGACAAACGCACAGCTACCCAGAAAGCTGCTGATGACGAGGCAAAAGCCAAGGAGTTCCGCATCAAGTTCTATCCGGAATTCTACCCACCGCATCCAGGAGATGTCCCCGAAGAACATCAGATAAAGTTCAAGCATATTCAGCAACTGGGCAAGATGAGCTACGAGTCGTATGCGATACAACCTCGACCCGACGCCATCGACAAGCCATGGGAGCTCGAGAACAAGAAGCGGGCTAAGCAGATGATCTACTGGGCTGTTCGATCGAGAGATGATTACCAGAACGAGGATGGCTGGAGAATGGAACTTGAGCCTTACGTCTTTGAGCGTTTTAAGATCGAAGTTGGATGGTATGATACATGCCACGCTTGATCTACATCATTTCTCGCATGCTGATCAGGAGTAGCCAGGGCTGTCGAAGACGTCTGTGGGAATCCTGCATCCAGGTGGATCCGAAAGATAGCAATAGTCGAACGATGTCCCTCGTAGAGCGTCAGAAACGTCGTTCAGGATGCTCGTGTGAGCCATTGGCAAAACAGCATAGCATGTGAGTTGATAAGTTCACCAAGCAAACGAATCACAGCTAATCATCTGCCTAGTCTTAGTACAGGACTGACCGATATCTTCACTTATCGTATTGGCGAGCGAAGCTTCATCCAGAACGACCCAGAGAATCGCCATCGAATTGAGAAGAAGCCTGATCGAATCTACGGACTAAGAACTACCGAAGCCATGGCGGAGAGTTTGCAGCAACTACACATTACCCACTTGGAAGAGAACACTGCGCTCAAATATCTGTCTAAGAGACTGACTATGAGCTGCAATCCAGACGGTGGTGACCAACCCTGTATATACCCTTTCCTAGCGATGGAAGCCAAAAGCCTCAAAGGCGATGGCAATTGGAAAGACATCGAGACGCAAACGGCAATACCGATACGAAATCATCTGTACCTACAGCTCCAACTCCAAGATGACCAGGACAACAAGATGAAGGTGCCAGGAGGCCCACTATCTTGGTTTCTTGCGCACATTGGTGAGCAGTGGAGGGTATATGGATGTTACGTCACGAAGTCCAGTCCAGACAGTCTACCCTGTTACGTAAGTTGATACATGACCTTTCCAATGGTTTACTAATGTCTTGGCAGAAAGTCATCCTCCTATGGGAGGGGAGTATAACCCGCCACGATGCAGCACTCCAATTGGTTCTCATCATGGACTACATCGTTGATTGGGCGCGTGATATCTACCGGCCCAACATCATTCGACAACTGAAGTCTGTAGTAGATAAAGGGCAGCAGTCTTCCTACACAGTCACCGCTGACCCCGATATCCTCTCAAGGACTGGTTATGCAAACTCTCGGGTTGGCGATGGACCTTTCGCTGCTATCAGCAGAGCTGGAACGGCTGAGATGCCTGCAAAACCAGCTTTTGATGCATCGAAATTCACCGTTGTGCCTTTCCTCAAGCCTGTCTTTGAGAGCACCGGAAAGCATGTCGATATCAAGGTCTGGGAAGGCGACAAGTACAAGTCACGAGTACGAGGACTGTATATCACAGGATGGGACGCTGCGTATAGGGGCTGGGATAGATTGAAAACGGCTCGTATGGCTCGCTGTTGGTTTCTCTTACCAAACGCCCAGGGCATTAAAATCATCGAGAAGGCTTGGACAGAGACTCAAGAGATCGATGACGTGCAGGACCCTTTGGAGCAGAGAATCTGGATCTCGCTCTATGTCCAATACCGCAAGGACAGTGACGGCGCGCCTATACGCGAATTGACGTATATTGCGCTTACCGAGTCTGTCGCAAATACTATTTCCTTCTTCCAGTACGCGAGACGAGAGCAGCTAGTCGTTACCGCCGAAGAACTCGAGATCAAGCTGCGCGAAGCCTGGGTATCGAGCCCCGAAAGCTACTTTCTGCGTTATGCCAGCGGTCATACCAACGTACTTTGCGCCACTGCATCTGAATATACAGGTGAGATCGTCCTTAGCTTTCACAGCTACAGCGAGATCACGCCGTGGGCTCGAAGCCTAGATCATTTCATCAAGAGCACTTGCGAGAACCCACGAGCGGAGTATGACAAAGCTTACGCACCGTGTTTTCGAGATACCAAGGCCATCCATTCGCTTATGTTGAAGCCCTATTGTGTCTCAGATCCTACCCAAAACTGTGTTTTCATCAACGCAGCGGCGATCAAGAATGCAGCAGCAATTTCCACCGGAATATGCGCCTACATCACGAATCCAGCATCTGAAGAAGTCGACGCTACATGGGTGATCAAGCATCTTGTGCAGATGATAAGGGTACTCTGGGACTGCAAAAGGGAAGATAGAAAACACATGTTCCATACAGGAACGGGATCTGTCGACAATAAGATTCTAATCTGGATTGCGTCAGATCCTCAATGGGATCTGTACGCTGCAATCAAGCCTACATTGACAATGCCTCGTTTGAACAGAGTCCATGAACATCTGGCGTGGTTCCGCAAAGCGTTACTCAGACACAAATGTGGAACAAGTTATCAAGGTTTGGATTGGTCCAGAGATGGGTACAAAAACGTTCAACGCAACATTCAGCTCGCTTGCAAGAACTGCTCTCTCGAGTTATCGCCGGCTTCTGGAGTCCCTGTATATCATTACTCCGACGAAGACTTCATGCCAAAATAGCTTTCTCAGATCAGTTTCAGGTAGTTACATGTGTACCAATGTATTCCACTACACCGAAAAGCTACATAATGAAAAGACACAGACAGAGAACATTTGTAGACGACCTTTAAAGGAGAACCAACTCCCATTACATCGGCTTCGCATCTACGAGCTTACAAGTAGCGAAGAACACTTTCTCGCTAGCACATCATCGTCTCCGACACATGCATCACGATAGAGCATTGCGCAGTCTGTCCGAGACAGATTCACGTGTAAGGCGCGATGCTAACCTAAGTGCTGGAGAGACGGAGCATGTAGGCATCATTTCAAAACGACGAGATGGATGAGCAAAGAGTCTTAGATACTACCTAGGTACAATTCATGATGTGTGAGACGTTCTTGGCTGCCTGGTCCACGCCTATAAGATGTCAGCCGTATCCATCTTCACATCCCCAGAGCAGCCGACTACACACCTTGTAACTTAATTAGAATGAGGGCGTACCCCCTGGCATTTCGCGATTAAGAGCAACGCAACCATGGATGTGTAAGCGGTTGCCTTCTCACTGAAGAGTCAACCTTGGTACAGCGTCAACGCTAACTCATAACGACCAACACCAATACGTTGCAACAGCTTCTCCAAATTTCGCGCGCATAACTCGTAGATCACCGACTCGATTTTCTCTTTACTACTTCGACGCCTACCACGACTTCACCTTACCCCGCCACTATACAAACGACCAAAAAGCCATCCTTCTGCGCTTCACTCCCTGCCGCAATAACAACACATACAACCTCACCATGCTATCGCAAATACGCACCCGCCTCCAATCATGGTGGCAACAAACACCTTTACCAGCAGCTGCCGCAACACCTAGCTTCCAGAAATGGCACGGCTTTGCCCAAGACCAGTGGATGCCCTTCACCAGCGACAAGACTTCTACACCCGGCAAACACCAATGGGTGGGTTCGATCCGCCTTGTGAGTTGGAATGTGAACGCAGATGCACCGCTACCAAAGTCTCGCATGTCCGCACTACTGCGCGCCATCGAGACTACAGGCGCTGCAGACGCTGTTTTCCTGCAAGAGGTATCAAGAGAAGGTCTTACAGCCCTGCTTGAAGATTCCTGGTTACAGCAAAACTGGTACATAAGCGATGTCGATGCGTCCGCGTACGGAACCCAAAAGTTCATCAGCATCACGCTGGTGTCCAAGTTTTGGGTAGCCACCGATAGTATCCAGCTAGGCGCCGTCTGGAGGGTCGCATTACCGAGTCGTTTTGGACGAGACGCGCTATGCTGCGATCTGATCTTCAACTCTTCAAGCAAGCACACTTCCGGTCGAGTGTCCACTCGCATTCGACTCATTAACGTCCACCTGGATTCGTTGCCAATCAATCCGTCGATGAGGCCGCGTCAGGTCTCCATTTGCGCGTCGTACCTCAGCGCTGCTGGCCGCGGGATCGTCGCCGGCGACTTCAATGGCATTCTTCCAGAAGACGACGACCTTGTCAGTAACAACGGTCTTGCGGATGCGTGGGCAGAGCTTCATCCGAATGATTCAGGCCATACTTGGGGCGTGTACGGTGAACAGTCTTTCCCGCCGAACCGGTTGGACAAAGTTGCTCTGCTCAACCTTAGGCCTTCAGCCATGCGCATCCTGCAAACGAGCGAAATGGAATCCTACGGCGCAGAGACGTCGGCCGACGTAGCAGAACAGGGGTCAAATGCGCATTTCAGCGATCATTTGGGTCTCTGGTGTAACATTAGCTGGACAGAAGACCGACCGCGGCAGGAACGATGAGGCGACGTGACTAGATGCAAAGAAGGTCGGAGCTGGCAGTGTCAAAGTCCCGGGACATGATGGAGCACTGTACATAGGAGTAGGACGAAGACATCGCATGCCCGTCGGCCGACGGTGGCCCTCCAAACACCGCCGACGCCCGTGAAATTTCGGGGTCGGCCGCCCGACATGCGACACCACCGTCAGACCAAGAGCTCAACATTGCCCAGACAGGCAATACACGTCGAAAACCATCGAAACCCTTCGGCATTGCGGTGCGACAGGCCCGACAGCCATCGGGGCGCCGGATTTGATGACGATGCGATGCCCCGTCTTGTCTGCGACTAGAAAGACGGGGCGATTTCCTGGATGTTGCTTGGCGAGACCGGCGGGTTTTGGGAAGGGAGGACCGAGACCGAGATCGAGGGCGCGTTGGGGCAGGTTCGGCACGTGATGAGTAACGGGTGACACGGTCAGTGTCGGCATCGTATCGCCGCCTTGGATATCTTCAAGGCTGACTTCATTTCACGATGCTGAAGAACCTTGGAAGCTGGAAGACTGCGCGATGCCGACACCCCAGGCATTGTCGGTTATCGCACGCTAGCCGATAAGACCGCCGACTTCACCGAAACAAGAGGCCTTTGATCGATGCCGCAACGAGAAACGATCTGGATAGAATTTTGCGAATATCAAACATGCGGGAGGAGATGAAGATCGCGTGAAAGTCTCTGTGAAGAAGTTCGGCTTGTATCTAGGTATGATCCTCAGTCGTCTTTGTTGCCGTCTTGGTCACACATCTTGGCACGTGATCATCAGAGACATTACAATCGCGCCCTTCTCACTCAGCAGCCTTTCGAAAAGCTACATGACAGTCATGCAATCCATCTTCAACAGCTTTACTATCGTTATCTCGAGGCCGGAGGCCGTTACAGCTGCTCGTTCCGGTCTGCCTTGTCCAATCAGAAGTGAAGCTGACCGATCCGGCTAGACTGAGGTCCCTGCATGCAGGTCCCGAGCGCAGACGCAGGGTCCAACCGGTCGTCGGCGAGAAGGAAAGTCTGGGGTCTCTTGACACACCTTCGCGCTCGCTATCGTCAGAATGCAGTACTAGACTTGTCAAAGAACACATTTGATCATACACTAGGTAACAGAAACCAACTCCAACCCCCTACGTCGACGCTGGAAGAAAGCCAGGAGCTGAAGACCAAATCGATCTGACATGCTTGAACCTCCACCGCCTTCTCCACGCGACCTCAGAATAGCCGAACCTCGAGCATGGGCCATGGATCTATTCCCCGGCTCGGCTTCCCATCTCGGATGACACGAACGTGTGGTTGGTTGGATTGGTTGGAAAGCACCGCCTCGTCTTATCAGCTAATCCGGGGGACTGCCATGAAGCATATCGGCGTATCTGCAATGAGCCGTCGGCCCAAGCTCCTGGTAGGAGTCAGAAGTGATGAGCATAAAGACGCGGTGATATCCCGGGATTTGAACTGAATCTATTTGCAACAATCTCAAAGTAAACTTGAAGTAAAACATATCGAGAAGGCACGAGCATACCTCTCCGACTTACAATTGAGGTTTCTTTTCCGGGAGTAACACACCTAAAGGTGAGTACCAAGTAAACAATAGATCTTGCATACAGCTCCGTTGGAGCCACGACTACAATGCAGGGTCTAGAATCCACACTCCATGTTCCGCGGAAGCACAACCCACGAACACATACATACATCAAGGGAGATCTACAGGGGAAGAAGCGGTCAGCTAACGTGTATATGTATAGCATCGTTACACATAACAACACTATCCAGACAGCCATTGTTCCGCCGGCTGGCATACCCAAGCACAAGCACCTATCCAACCGATTCTCCCGAACAATCTAGTGTTAGATTCAAGATGTGCTCATACACATACTCGTGGTATTACTGTAACCACGATTACTACATCTGGTACGCTCTTGCCTTCCCTTTCCCCCAAACCCAATCTAACACTCTCCCAGGGCCAACAGCATCGAAGTCTGTTCCTCGCGCCTCCTCTCCGGCTACTCCTACGACGCCTGGTCCATCGACATGTGTTCCAAGATGAAGATCGAATGCGGCGGCTTCTCGAATTACTACTGCACTGATTGTTCAGAAGACGTGGCGTTGGAGTTTGAGTTGGATGAATTATAGAGTGGGAGGCCCAAGGGTGGACTTCACGTTTCCTTTCGGCTGACGGGGAAGACAAGCGAGTATGATAATGCAGGGTGAGTGAATGTGTAGAGTGGAGTGAATGCACGAAGCCGGATTCCACGTCCGATGGCACATGGCAGGGAGCTGACTTGTCCTGCAGGGCGATTTACACGTTGCGGTCTTGACTTCACATAGCGTTGTGATGGCACGCGTGCGCGTTTGCAGTTATTGGTTGGATGAGGCTCACCGCCTTGTTGATGCACGTCCTGTACCGTCAGCCTCGTGCATGCTGCATGCAGCATCAATCCCACGCGGTACTTTCCTTTTCACGTTTTCGACCTGTGTTAGACGCGCTATACCTTTTCATTATATGATTTGGCTTATCGGCGCACGCAGGCGCGGTCACCGGCTCCTAGGCCTTGTTCGATGTGGGTTTCTTGGGATAGGCGTTCGGGATTATGGGAGACTTTGGTCAACTTGTTGGATACTGTTTGTATAAGCTGAATTACAGGACATACTGCTGAGCGCACGCTGTATAGCAATGACCCAGACTTCAATCTGCCTTGTTCCTGCCTGTAACGTGACGTCCAGTCCTCACTCTGTCAGACTATCCTCTGCCGTCTTCGGGCTGACACCGTATCCTTCTTCCAGTGTCCGCTGGACCTGCTCAGCTCGCCTCCTTGCATCGATGTACATCATGAATTCCTGGTAGGTCCTTGGCATGACCCTGATGTTCTTCGGTACCGTGAACGTGTAGTTGAACTGCCCTGTCGGCTTGCTGTGGCCATGCTCCACATCCCGCACCTTTGAGTCAATCCTAATCTGCACTCGTGTATATTCGGCTTGATCGTCGACCTTTTCGTCCGGCGCGCCGATCAGCGGCGGGTCTGTGTATACGACTGTAGCCGTGAGGTATAGTATGCTGCCTACAGGCACTGGGTTTTGGAAGGTGGAAGGATCGAGGGAGACGAAGGTCGGGCGCGCGTGTGCGAAGGCTGCGGCGGCGGTGAAAGCGAGTTCGAAGGTCTGCTTGAGGAGGAAGCCACCGAAGATCATGAAGTGATGGCGATTGCGGTATTGCGGTTGCATGATTGTGGCGGTCTGGAGACGTGTCGCATCCATAAAAACAACGTTATCGGGTTTGCGTAGGTCATCGTAGGGGTCTGCGATTGTTAGTTGGGGGATAAGTAGTGGTAGCGATAGGACTGACCATGATACTGCAACTGCTTTTGCCAGAAGGCGTGTATGAGGTCGCTTTCGAGGTCGTTCGGCGTATGCTTGAGCAAAGAGGTATCTCGGCGCTCCTTTCGCACTTTCGAGTTACGCTCACCGAGAGCATACAGGCGTTTCTCTTCGGGCGTCTCGACGATTAGGGGATTGACGTTTACGGGCCTGCGGACCAGTTAGCTGCCAGAATCCTTACCCACTATATTGATCTTTACTTCTTGGTGCCTGGATCTAGTGAGACCATGGTGAAGGTGCAGTTGATCAGGACATCCTCGTCTTGGGCCTGTTCGCCTTCCTTAGGCGCTTTGGCAACCTGCATCGTGATTTCCAGACTGCTTCGGCCAGTCGCATAGGTCACGCGGCCAGACAGCTCTAGATCGCATATCTCGGTCAGTGGGGAGTGAATGGTAATGCGGTCGCAGCTAGCCGTAACAGTAGTCACGTCGTCTCCGGTATGCTTGTACCTGTTGCAGCATTCAGACCAGGTAGCTACTACGCGTAGCTGTTGAACGCTTACGCAATGATGCCAGAGAGAGCATCGAGATCCATGAAGATGGTTCCGAGCCGTATATGCCCTGAGGCGTTAAGATATGTGTCGAGGATCCATGGGTCCTGAGCCAGCGGGAGTACAACCGAATGGTAGCTCTCGCTCATACGTTTCCCTGTCAGCTTGCGATCTTTGGGTACTTCGGGCTTTCCTGAAGGCTCCGTAGGTTGTTTCCCCTCTGACTGCTGTTGGCGCAAGGCTTCTATCCATGGGGTGCGCACGCGCATCGACGTGAGCTCTCGAAATACGCCATCGGTGCGTCGCGAGGGGCTGCAATGAAGATGTCTTCGACCAATTGAGCCCGCGACTGCTACTGGAGACCTGCAAATGGTGTTTTGGGGCAATGCAGCTTGACTGACGCGCCGAAGCGCGTTGGTGGTGAGGCTCCTCATGTTGCGACGCGAGGTGGAGGTTGCAGGACTCGCGAGCCCGCGAGGAAGCAACAACCCTCAGGGTGCTTGCCGAACCCATCTCTTGGCACCGATAACGATACATCACAATCTCAGACCCCGTCGCTCCACCAATCTCTGCAATGCCCATGTCGCTGCTTTCGCCTCCTCCACAGACCGGAGTCTGGTTGGACGATAATGTCGAGATCAATCGAGCTCGGGCGCGCAGTGCTCAGCTCGCCTGCTACTGATCACGAGCTTTGGCTCACAACATTGATCACCATCTCACCAAAACAGGATGCAACTTACCTACAGCAAGTAACATCAGCCGAATATCTAGACGCGTTGACATCTGGTGCTGTATGGGTGAGCCGTGGACATGACATGCACATTGACATGACGCTCAGTCTACGCGATGAGCACTTGCCTAACAAGCAGCTGCAAGACCTCGCAAATGCCGTTCTTGGTGCGCCGGTGAGTATAATTGCTCCTGTTTTGGGATGATATTGACAAAGTGTAGGTCTGGGATCAGTTGACGTTGACGCCAACGCATCGAACAGATATCGCAATGGACCCCGGGACAATACGTCTGGACATCAACCACTCCTCAGTCACGAGCATGCAAGAAGGAAAGAAGCGTCACCGACTCTTCTCGGATGTTCCAGCGGTAGAAATTCAACCGCCCAAGGGAATCGCGTCAGTCTCACTCCTGTCCATACGCATTTGCATGGACATTCTGGAAGCAAGCCCGCGTAGGAGGCCCGCAGTGAAACGAACGACTTCATCCCCGGGTGAGCGAAAGGTAGCGACTCTAGAAGAAGAGGACTCTGATGCACTTCTGTACGAGATTGAACTCCAGGACTTATCGCCTGCTGGACACATTAACCGCACGTCAACTGCTCCGAGGGCTTCTGCGCACAGGAAACGAAAACGACCAGCTACAGAGGGTGTGGTATCGACTCAATCAGCATCACTTGAACAGGCCGAAATATCGAAACGAAGGCGCAATCGACCGACAAACGATTCTGCGGGGCGGCGAAAGTCCCACACGAGTCCCAAATTACCAGAACAGATAGAGATTGCCAGCATGGTCGATGGAGCGTTGCGTTTGTCGATTTCTGGTACTCTCAGCAAGGCCCCGCTGGGACTGAAGGCCAAAGCGAGCACTTTCCGCCTAGGGTTGGCCGATGTCGTTCCTGCGATATGGAAGACCGGATATCTTGTCGTGAGAGAAAGATGTTTCTCATCCTGTGTGCAGTGCTAACTCGTAAGCAGGCATTGTCCCAAAGAGCTCATCTCCTACCTACCATTGCTTGTTCCATACGCCGAATCGGCAGCGTAAAGGCAGCATCCATCTCGTTAAGAGACAAGATAAAGGACTTGAAGATGGTTGCGCACCAAGCCTTGTCAAGTCGCTTAGATTCAACACTACCTGACGCTGACTATGAGGCCGCTGAAGCCGAGTCAGCCATCGCAAGCCATCTATGGGTACAGTCCCAAAGAAGTCTCATGGATAAACCCATGGCCCCGATCAAACCGTGTGTGGCGCCTATTGTTCAACAAGCCCAGCCAGACTCTGACGACATGCTCGCGGATGAGGAACAAGCCTGGCAGCATACTCAGCCCACTACATCATTCCAGGCTGACGGCCTGCACGAGTGTTTCGAGGATGAGTCGGCATTGACAGCGGGTCCCCAAGCGACCCAACAACAAGCGCGATCTCTTGACAGCCCAGACTTGCTCTTCGATGTTCGCGATGATGACGACCTGCTCCTCGACTCGCATTCTCCAAATGCAACATCGACTACAGCGTGTCCAACAAATGAACAGCTTCATACGCCAGGCAGCCCAGCTACATATCCACTCTTTACACCTGACATGTATGTTCCGCAGTCGGGTGCCTCGTCATCTCAGACTTTACAACCTTCGTCGCAACAGCAGCCGAACGCCGAGCAAGAACTTTTACATCAAATGTCAGCTGAAGGTGACGTTGATCATACCGAGAATCTGCTGCTAGTCTCTTAGACACAAAGGGGTCGCACTTGGACTTCAGCTCACTAGCATTGTTGTTACAGGATAGAGTTTCGGCTGTATAGATTTTCGGCCGAAGCGAGCTAACACCCGTTTCATTGAGGAAGGGCAGCATCACGTGGTCGTTGGTATGGCTCCGAAGATATTTATATCCGGTTACTCTAAATGTGGCTTTTCATAGTCGGCTCTGTTATTGAGCCTCACGGAACTACCCTGCGTTCCTGCATTCTGCCACCGGTTCTACAATAGCATATGGGTCGACTTTGGGAACAATCACCCCATGGGCCTATCGTCGACCATCCATCGAGTCAGCAATGGGGTGATGCACGTGTAGGTAGATCACGGCTTCCAGGAACGCCCTTCGAAGAAACCGCCACAACCTCGCAACACGAAGCATGAATCGTGTACATAGACGGCCTTCCTTACTCCGGAGTCCTCCTGCACTCTAGGATTGCTTGGCTGGTGGCTAAAGCTGCACATCATCCTGCAGGTCCTGCACTCAACAGGAAATGGACCTGTACATCTCGAGTTGGTCCCTGACGGCGTGCGCCTCCACAGAACGATTGCTCAACTCCGATCCAACTGCCGTGGCGCGGACTCAAAGAAACTTCGACTACCAGAACCCCTTCTGCACCAGACAGACTGGTCTTGTTCGTATTTCCGGAGTGAACCGCGTGGCGTAAACAGGTCCGCCCAAACTTTCCTGTCACTCAACGTCGCCGATGTCCAATGATTCGCGTCCTCCGCTGCCGAGGTTGCACTAAGCGAACCAAGTTTTGTTTCGGAATGCAAACACTCACGAAAGTTACCACATACTCAGCAGCCGGCAAAGCGAAAGCGGCTGCTGTATGTCGGAGGTCAGCGGCTCTTCGTGTAACATGCCTGCGAGAGCTGCGAGACGGCATGACATTGTTCTGCAGCTGTTGTACGCTCTCCAACGTCGACCTCTTCTCTGAACGTGATTCGCGCCCCACCAGCTGCACGGGAGGTGATCAATTTCGGCTATCGGGCACAGGCCGTGCCACGTCCTGAGAATCTGCGATCGGAGGAAAGCACGCTCTGTCTCCACCTCACTACTGTTATGTGCCGTCGTACCAACGGCAGGTTTGCGAGCATGGCGACACATGTCAACTCGGCTCTTCCGAGTCTACCACTCGAACGGGCCATCGGGTTGAAAGCTTTGCATTTCGCAACCGCCTCCTGGGTTTGAACATGGCTGGCTGTTGTCATGCTAATGGTATAGTCCTCTTTGATATACACGGCACGGCAGTCCCTACAATCGAGGCCTTGAAGCGCGGCATTCGTCGCTTGCGCAGAACCATTGGAATGACAGGGCGCTTCGAGTCGAGAAGGTGCCTTGCGAAGATCCATCACCTTACATCATGGTGGAGACCGACAATGTTTCAGTCAATCAATGGTTGTTGTACCGATGCTCTGGATATGCGGAACATGCCCAGAGCGTGTGCGACATGCCCATCCTGGCCAAATCACGCTTCATCAGCGTCAGCTTCCTCCCCGCGGAGACGCCCTCGTTGCCGTGTTGGCGTTCTGAATGAACTCAAATTACCACCCGTACCATATGTCTTAATACCCGGGATCAGTCGGCCAAGGTACCAGAGTTGAGTCTGCACGCTAGCTTCGCGATGACATCTGGCCCCATTCTAGGCCGCATGACACTCGCCTCTGGCCGTGCAGTCCGCGGTGGTTGTTCGTCGCTTGCAATTCACATCCCGCTCACGAATTCTATCCTCGCACGTATTCGTAGGGAAAGCACGGTCCTTCGGAGATCCATCAGCCACGTTTGTAACACAGCAGGAGACCACGGCCTGTTGGGGACAGATGCATCACTAGCGGGCCGCGTTCGCTGCGCGAGTGGCTAGAAGGTCAGGCCGAACGGGATTCGTGAACTTTGAAATTACTCGAGGCCACGCCGCGAAGCCACTACACCTAGGCTAATAGGCCCAAGCCGTATCAAGGTCGTTTGCATGAAGGGGCCAGAGCTGTGGCGTGGAAAACTGGATTGGCGCCATGGGCATCTCGGCATGGAGAGGGCGGAGCTATGTGATCGGTCCCAGCAGACGAGTGTGGAGACTTCGTGCGACGGGGTGTCGCTGTCATGCCTCCCGCACCAGACTAATCAGGCGCAGACTATGTCCTCCACTTCAGCGGACGTCTAGAAGGGGACACTACCCACCGGCGCGAGTTCAGGTACAAACGCGCAGAACCCTCTTTTCAGCGGCTACCCCTCCGATCGACTTCTAAGTTTTGACTGCTGCGAGGAGAACCTACATATACACATCTCTCCGCATACGCGCGATTGGACCCCGAAAAGACATTAGCTTACAAGACGCTGGTCACCTCCTTACTTGGATCCTCAAAACGAAACACCGAAATCGCCTTCCTGCGTCGATCTGCGGTGTATGATGCAAACCACTTGACTGTGACGAGCTTCATCCAAGAAACATATCCAAGGCGATTATACCGGTGCGGTTCCGCTCTGCTGACTCCATCTCACTTCACTCCTCTTCTGTAAACGTAAGTGATGAGTAACCTCTCTCGTTCATCAATGCAACAAACATGACCAACTGACAGAGTGCAGCTTTCACAGCTGAGGAAGCTCACGTAAGGCGCATTATCAGCCTCACGAGAGTACGACACATCTCAACACACTAAATCAACAACTGCTTCGTAATGTTGAACCCAGACATCGAGATCAAGTACCCGCTGGGGAGCAGACCCGCTATATCTTTTCTTCCTGCACTCATTGTGGGTTCATACATCGTCAGCCTAATCGGTGCTTTCACGACTGTAGAGTTACTACATCGGCGAGTTTCAGGAGCAGGATGGCGGTCGTGGTATGTTCTGAGCTTACATTGCTGTACGACAACCACTAACACCATTTTAGGGTACAAGTAGGAGGCTGCGCAGTTTCGTTCGGACTGGTTGCTATCTGGTGTATGCATTTCGTCGGCAACAGGGCGATCGTGCTCGGTGACGGAGAAGAAGAGATTCAACTCTACTACAGTTCGACTTACACTGCTGTATCGGCTGTCCTACCGGTGGTCGTCATGTTCCTGGGACTATCGGCGGCGGATAAGTTCTACAAAGGAAGCAAAGGATCTCTCGTTCGGTTTGCATCACTGGGCGTATGCGGTGTCTGTGGAGGAGCGGCTGTCACAGAAATGCATTACCTGGGAAACAACGGCACTACCAACTACCGGATCATCCTAAGCTGGCCACACGTCGTTGGGGCCGCGTCTATCGCTGTGGGCGCTTGTCTCATTTCTTTCAGTCTCTTCTTCCACTGGAACAAGCATTGGATGAACAACGTCTGGCGACGAATCATCGTGGCCGTCGTACTCGCTTTGGCCGTCTGCGGAATGCACTGGACTGCCGCAGCTGGTACCTGGTATGAAATCCGCGGCTACCACGACGGACCTGGCCAAGAGAGGAACACTAACCTCATCATCTCTCTTTGTCTTGTAAGTCACCCACTTTGCGAACGAAGCACATAGCTGACTGAGAACCAGTGCCTGAGTGCGTGTGCTGTATGCTTCCTTCTCGGCTTCATCAAGCAGCGTCAGCGTCGATTGGAAAAGAACCGAGCTCAACAGGTCGTTCTTGCCATTGCCACATTCGATCCGGAAGGAAGACTGCTCGTCAGTCAAAGCGGACTGATGCCCTGTCAGACAATCACCCACCAGTTCCACCAAAGAACATTTGACGACGAATTCAACACATCGCATCCTGTGTTCCAATGGATCTTTAGGGTATCGCGCAACTGGACTGGCATTTCCGATCTCATCCCCACGATGCGAGAGCATCTACAAGCGACAGGATACCTCCAAGCGCCTACCCACGGAAGTAACAGCCGATCGTCTATGGAAGCCGATGACGATATCAGCTACTCGGCTACATTCCGGGAGCTGTTCTGCGTCACAGCGCACGAGATTGCGCAGACACTTGACACGAGCCTGCAGAATCTTGGAAATCTATATGAGGAGGTCTTGACAACGGGTACGGTGATGAACCGCGCAATCTGGACAGGCAACTACGGTAACAAGACCATCGTGGCTGCAGACGTAGCGACAAAGGACCTAGAAGCTGGAGCGGTCAACCCCATCCTATTCGGAAGAGGTCAGATGCTTGTACTTACAAAGAAGGTCGACACCACCGAGGCACATCGACTACACAACCTTGGATACGGATTCGCGAGTGTCGAGCAGGTCAGCGACCATCTGGCTCGCAGCCTGCAAATCCCGCGCGATGACCTCGAGAACCTTGTTGGGCGCCTACAGGCTTTCAGCGAGAGGCAGCTATCCCTTCCCAAGAAAGGCACCTACATCGGATCCTTCCTTGTGCAGCCCAAACCCGGTATGCGAGGCCTGGACGTCATCGTACCGCGAGCTACACCTGGCCGCATCCCGATGGTGAAGCTGAGCAGCGACGAGCTCGACAGTCGGCAGCTGAACATCCTCACGACCTTTAACGGTTGCAGTCTAGACGACTGTTTGGTGCGCATCAACAAGCGGACCGCGACCGACTCGGAGGACGATCTTTTCCTCGACAAGTTCCGCAACAGGATCATGGAACTTCTGCGAGACTGTCCCGAAGAAACTCTTCATCGTTCAGTATTTTCATCGCAGCAGATTGACATGATGCACGGTCAGACCGAGTCCAGCCAGGCCACCCTTTTCGCTTTCTGCGGTATCAAGGAGATTTACGTGCAGTCACTGCAAAGCCTGACACTGAAGACGATTCCACTCTCCTTCTTCCAAACGTACCTGAGGTCACAGCCAGGATGCGCCGACCACGCGATACTGGCGCAAAAGAACCACAAGGAGTTTAGCAGCCTCCGACGCGTACCCTCCATCACGAAAATGCCACCCAGCAGCCGCGGCGGCAAATGGACTCGCGGTTTACGTTCGAAGCGATCAAATTCAACGGAGTTGAGCTGGCAGCAAGCAGATACGTGCTCGGAGAAGGGTCTGGTCAACTGCACCACGCATTCCCAAGCTGAGCCTTCGTCGCATCCATGGGGAGGCATCATGGTTACTTCGACGCAGAACATTCATGTGGACGAGACCAAGGCGGGTGCAAATGTAGAGCTCCACGATCTCGGTGTTCGCGCCAATGTTGGCATGGCAGAGACGGAGCAACAGACATTGGCAGACCGACTCATGTCCATCACGACTGCGTTCCGTGACCCGCACGCGATTCGCCCGCCAGGTTACCACGGCATCCGGAAGTAGATTCTTTCCTCAGTGGAATGGTGTCGTTCCAGCAATTCTTTCTTTTGCAGCATTTCCGGCGTTGGTGTTGTTGGCATTGGAATACCCTTCATAATGACATGCGATGACACAACGAGGGACATTCACGATTCATGGGATGGCGTTTGGGATCTGGGAGCCGCTTCACGGCTTTGACAGAAAAGTGTAAAGCTTGTAATATGTAAATTATGTATGAAGAAATAAGGAGATGTCTTGAACAAGAACAAGATGATGCACATGTGAAGGCCAGAGTGGTCCGATAACGCAGACGGGCCCGCAATGGTGGGAGGCTTGGCGAATGACGCTCATCTGAACTTTCTATGCCCCACGCGCGAACTACCCCAAAAACATTGACTCAACTCCTGCTGCAGGTCATTCCGACAATTTAGCCAGTGTGGAAATACTCTCACAGCATACATCCATTCCCGATCCCATTACACCCTCGAATCGACCGCCGCAATCGACATTCCACCCATCGCGACCAGCCCGCTCTCGCGGCCCCCTCCACAATGTCTTCGCCCACCACCACACCAACCCACAAACTCACCCCCCTCGCAACCCTCACACCGCCCTCCAACTCGCGAACCTGGCAGTCCGCGCCACATCCCTCTCTCCCTATCGTCGCAACTGCGTGCTCCGATCGCAGCGTCCGCGTCTACAGTCTAACCTCCTTCACGCTCCTACATTCCATAACAGGTGGGCATAAGCGCAGCGTACGGACTGTGTCCTGGAAACCGAGTACACGGGGACAGAGTGTTCTCGCGACTGGAAGTTTCGATTCTAGCGCTGGGATATGGCGGAGGGAAGAAAATGGTGGAGGACGCGAAGAGGACTTTACGGGTAGACGAATCGGTGCTGGCGGTGAGGATAGTGATGGAGACGAACGCGACGACGCAGACGACTACCAATTCTCCTGCATCCTCGACGGCCACGAATCCGAAATCAAATGCTTGGCTTGGAGTCCCAGCGGGCAATACCTAGCAACGTGCTCCCGCGACAAGAGCGTGTGGATATGGGAGGAGCTCGAAGACGATAACTTTGAAACCGTGGCTGTGTTGCAGGAACATGACGGCGATGTCAAGAGCGTGGCGTGGCACCCCGAGGAAGATTTACTGGTTAGCACGAGCTACGACGATACGGTTAGGTTGTACAAGGAGGATGCGGATGATTGGGTGCAGGTGAGTATGATTGAGGGGCATGAGAAGACGGTTTGGTGGGCGGAGTTTGAGGGGAGTGGGATGGCGGGGAGGGGCTGGAGGAAGGATTCATCGGACACAACACTATCGGAACAGCAGTCATCCCATATCTCGGAGTTGGAACGATCGGGACCGCGGCTAGCGACGTGCTCAGACGACTGCACGGTACGGATATGGCGCCGGAAAGCGAAAGAAGGGGATGGCAACGCGAGTAATAAGACGGGCGTCCCTAGTATCATCCGCTCGGCGGCTATCGACGAGGAGTGGTATCAGGATGCGGTGCTACCGCAGGTTCACGAACGCGCTATCTACTCGGTTTCTTGGAGTCGGAGGACGGGCATGATTGTTAGTGCGGGTAGCGATGGGAAAGTCATTGTTTATAAGGAGAGGTGGAGGGGCAATGCGGAGGATGGAGTGGAGGGGATGGATGTTGATGGTGCGCATGTAGAGGGATTAGGAGGATTGACGGAGTGGGTGGTTGTTGCGGAACTGTTTTCCGGACATGATGTCTTTGAGATTAATCATGTTTGCTGGGCCAAGAGGGCGGATAAGGGGAGGAGGGGTGAGGAGGAGGAGGTTGTGCTTACTACGGGGGATGACGGGGGGGTGAGGGTTTGGGTGTTGGATGAGGTGGATGCTGAGAAGGTGTGAGAAGAGAGATAGATGAAGTCAACATGAGAGAGGCTTGATTATATTTGTAGAGATTGTGAAGCAGACATCATGGAACCAGGCTTCATGTATATAGTTTTGCACGCTGGGATGCGGTTGTCTCAATGATAGCATTCGCATCTTCAGTGCTCTGCTCCTTCAATTTTCTTGTCCCTCAGTATCATGGCCAATACCATGTCTATCTCAGGGCCAATTGACCTCAACATCTGAGTACTTCGACGTAAAGGGATGATGACACGTTCTCATGTCAAGCACAGGGTCTAGAAGTTGGCAGGCCCCTGTCACATGCGAATGATGCAAATGCGAGGAATCAGGATGGGAAATGCCACACGTGGGCCATGTTGGAGCGCTCATCCAGTCCGCTCGCGTCAAGAGCGTGTGGCGCAGGGAGCGTTGGGCGGACTGGCGTCATGCCAAGGTGCCGATCAGATCAGGATTCAAGGAAGCGCGAGAATTTACGGACGGCAGCTAGACGCAATCTACGCGTGTCCAACATTATACTAGCCACGCCGTCACCGTCTATCTACTGTCTATCTACTGTCTCACCGTCTCTGCTGTGTGCGTCTGCGATGCTGTGCAAGGCCGTCGTCACTTCCTCACCCATCTAATTGGCGCTTGCGCATAATTGCCCCGACCTCGACCGTTATCACCCGCGTGTTCCCCCATATCTGGGCATTGCGCACCCGACGCCTACTCCTACTCTCCCACCTACAGACCACTCCGCCCTCTCAACATAGTTTTTGAGTTTGCACGTGCAGCGTAATTGTCCGTAATTGCCTCATCCTCCACCCCACGCCTATGCCGCCAAAACGAAAGCGGTCCACCACTGTATCTTCGGTCAAGAAAGACGCCATGGACGCTGTGCAGCCCTCATCGCGCGACGCCTCGGACGAGGGTGCCGAGGACCCTGTTCTCCAGGCTGTCGCGTCCAAGAAGGAGCGCCAGGCCGATGCTAATGGCACCACCACCAAGCGGGTCCGCGTTAAGAGCGCCCACGGCGACGAGGATACCGACGAGGATGAGCGCGCGAGCAAGAAGAGCCGGCGCACGTCATCGCTCGCGGGTGACGACCACGGCGAGGGTGGTGAGGCTGGCAGCATGCGCATGGAGCCTCCGCCCAAAGCTGGTCTTGTCGACCCCGTAGGCTACAAGACGAACCCGCCGCCAGAGGGACGCCCCGTCAGGATATACGCAGACGGTGTTTTCGATCTCTTCCACATTGGCCACATGCGCGCCCTGCAGCAGGCCAAGACGGCCTTTCCCAACGTTCAGCTTATAGTTGGTGTTACTGGTAACAAGGAGACACATAAGCGCAAGGGTCTTACCGTCCTGTCGGCGAGAGAGCGTGCTGAGAGTGTGCGCCATTGCAAATGGGTCGACGAGGTTATCGAAGATTGCCCGTGGATCGTGACCGCTGAGTTCCTGTTGAAGCACAACATTGACTACGTCGCCCACGACGACCTTCCCTATGGCGCAGACGAGGGTGACGATATCTACGGCCCCATCAAGGAGCGAGGCATGTTCCTCGTCACCCAAAGAACTGAGGGTCTCAGCACAACAGGAATCATTACAAAGTAAGTCTACCAACTCAATTCCTCCTGCCTATATTAACACACCCCAGAATCGTCCGCGACTACGACCAATACATCGACCGCCAACTCAAACGCGGCACCTCGCGCAAAGAACTCAACGTCTCCTGGCTCAAGAAGAACGAGCTCGACGTCAAGCGCACCATGGCCGAGCTCCGCGATAGCATCAAAGCAAACTGGACAACAACCGGCCAGGAACTCAGCAAAGACTTCCGCCAGTTCTGGCAATCAAGTCGCCCTGCATCCCCTGCCCGCACACCCACGCGCGAGCAGTCGCAGGCGGAAACCATGGAAGCAGCCAGTGTCGCTCGTTCTCCTTCTGCGATTTCGCGACTCAGTCACCTGGATATTCCGAGGGCGAATAATACGAGGGAGAGTAGCGAGTTTGCGGCTGGGTATAATTTGGGGCTGATTGGTGGTGTGAGGTCTTGGGTACGTTTTATCAATCCTACACATTCGCAAGCCCGCGAACGAGAATAGTTTACAGGAAGGTTTACTGACATTTCGATTAGATGGCACGCTCCCGCCGCAACCTAAACGACAGCCGCCCGCAATCCCCCATCGACGACAGCTCCGACGAACAGGAAGCCAGGAGTCCCCAACCTAAAGAACATAAAGGAGAGCAGCAGCAGCAGGAAGTTACCCGTGGTCGTACGGGTAAACAGACGAAGAGCGAACCGGCTATGGATACTGCGGCTTAGGATGCTGTGAATCGGTACCTATAGTAGGGCTTCCAAATCGGAGGCAAACGTCTGCCCGAAGCGGTAGTCGGGTCGACGTTTTCTTCTGACCTAGCAAGCAAGCACCACATAGCTTGTGCGACCGACGGATTGTGTATACGTGGCTAGGTGGGAAAGCCGTTGCACGACAAAAACGTACATTATCATAATACTTATTTCTCTTGTTGTGAGCTGTTGACTGCGCCCCCCTCTCTTCCGCCTTGTTCTGCTTTGTTCCGTGCTACTAAACTCCATTTCTATTTTTATCTGAGTTTTACTAGTTCAACATATAGCGCGAGATGTCTATCTACAGTTTGTTAAGATTCAACGACTGCGCCTACCTTTACTTCCGACGATGGCGATGAACGGCGAAGTCGCAATGCCTGCTTTGCTGTCGCTGTCGCTCTCGTTGTTGGGATCAAACGACAATGATTGGGAACTGGCCAAACGAGTGGTGTGCTGTGCTTGTTACACCAGACAATCGCCTACTTTGCCTCGCACTGGTTCGTTTCCTTGTCCTCGCGTATCTTTGACTGAACGGAAAAGTGTTGTGCGGGGCTGTGCTGAAAGGACATGGCTTGCTATGCTAACATGTACATGAAGAAGATATGTACCTGTACCTAACTTTGCTAGAGGAAGTCATACGCTGACTCAAGATCGAAACTCCCAGCGCAATCTACGACGGACGGACGGAGAAGGAGGAGTCATCACGCACAGCACGGCCGATACGGTGTTCTGGATTTGAGAGAGTTGTACGTGGAAATACTGACGAGTATCGATATATCGATATATCTACCTACTTCACGGGTATCACTTCTCAACCAACTATCTGCATCACTGCTCTACCAGCATACCTCGTTCGACAGCATCCAATATCTCAAACATCAATGTGTATCATAACCTTCACAACTCACCCTCATTGCGCCTGTCCACCAGCCCCCTCATCTCCTTACATCCGCCTGTGCCCCTACGCTCGCTCGCTCAACCCCATTCGAGCGTGCCCCGTAGGCGCGAGGTTGAGCCAGACGATGTGGGTCGAGGGCGAGTGTAGCTGGTGTAGGCAGTGTGGGAGGGATGGGGTTAGGGAGGAGAGGGTTAGGGGGAGGAGGGAAGGGTATGCGAGGGGGGTAGATCGGTATAGTAAGGGGAGATTTGGGGGCTGGGGGTCTTGAGAGGGTGGAGTGAGGTGGATTGGATGTTTTGGGGGATGTGATGGAAGATTTGTCAGGCGGGAGGAGTGAGAAGAAATGAGGCGGAGTGGACGAGGGAGATGCGATAGGGCGGGTAGATTCAGAGGGGTAGAGGACGGGAAAAGCCTGGGGGTGGTTAGGACGATAGATCCTACATATGAAAAGATTCTCGAACAAAAGATAGTATGGTACGCGCCGTTGACTCATACCGAGCTCAGTCTTGTCTCGCACTGATCATTGAAGTGGCAACTTTTGGGAGATGACGAAGGAAAAGTGTGCGCCGTTGACTCAAATCTGGGGCATGGTCTTGTCTCGCGCTGGTTATTGAAGCAGGAAACACCCCAGAGACGCACGAAAGTAGAGTATGCGCATCTGATCAGGACTATTGCGTGATCGCATCTCGTGCTCGTTATTGGAGTTGTCCATTGGGGACGGGATGATCGCAATACACCTAGTTTTGAAATGTTTTGTCAAACTGAAAACTCTTCAACAGATGAGCAAGAAGGAGCTCATAACGAGGAACATGTCCGTGGATATCCCATGAAAATCTCATGAAGTGGCTTGCTTCGTCGTTTCTAATCACTGTGTTGTCGTAGTGAAGCTGACGCAAGACGACACGTTGTCGCTGTTGAGAAACTTTTCCCTTCATAATCGCAACGCAACGCGGGGTTTGGGAGGTTTACGTGTCGACGTGACTGGACCGGGATGTAGAGTGGAAGTGAGGCATGATGGCTGTTCGGCACTTTGGAGTGGTGCCTGACGATGGCGAAATGATCTTCCAGGATACTACACTACCAACGAGCCTTCCCTGCGCTTACGTCGGGACCTGCATTATCAACAAAACACCACATGACGGGCGGAGGACGTCTGCGAACATGTTCAAGTCCTTCGACCATCAGAGCGACAACCACTCAGCGCGCGCCGGGCGAGAGGGATAATTAATCCGACCCAACGAGAGTGCATCGTGTGACATCGCGACTTCCTAAGCGCAGCAGCAGGCGCGGTTCTGCCTCAGAACCACACCGGCGTCTCCAGCCCTACTATATTATAGATAAATGGGGCCCTCCATGCTCCCGTTTTTCTAGATGCTCTTGGTCCCACCCAGACTCGCTGCACGCGGTATAGATCGCCTCACACCCGCGATGTGATATACGACGAGCCCTCTCCACACCCAGGGCCCTCCTTACTAGCAGCCCCTCCGTTGTCCGCCCGTCACCAGCCGTCGCTTATCTGTCATACCATGAGAGGCTGCTCTGCTTTTGCCCATCGCGATCTGCGACACACGAACCGGACAGGTCTTCTGAACGAGTCGGTCCTTGGGCTGTCGGCAGTTTGTCGGAGCGGCAAGGCTGCTAGATGAAGCGGTTGCGTTTCAGTCGCCTTTGGATCCCGCGCCCGCACGCCAGGACGTCCGACGATCGCACTTGTGGACGACTCATGATGGCATCGAAGGGGCCAGGAACACGACTGACGTCGGTGAGTCGCCCTGACGTCGACCCACCGTGCGATGTCTAGAAGCTGTACACGACGTGCGACGCGTCTGGTCCATGGACGTATGCGCATGCAGCGTCCGGTCAGACTGGGTCAGTCGCGTCGAGGACAGAGACACAGGACTGGGACCGGATTTCCTTTTCATCCCCCGGATAGCAGCGCGGATGCCAAATGCTCGCCCTACTTTCAATAAGTGAGGCGGCCGTGATGCGCTCTCCGATGCTGCAGCCAATCACGGGTGGCTGCACGCGGTCTCGGCGTGCTGGGCCTGCACATCTGCTGCATTCTGCTCCCTCACGACATCGTCGGATACCGTGTCTGGCGAGCGAGACAGCGCTACTGCGGCTCCGCGTTGACCGTCTGAGGTCTGCTAATTTCGTCGCTGCTGACTAGCGGTGTGCAGTCGCCGCTGGGATGACACGCGTTGCAGCTTCACGCTCACCAGACACGCCCGAGGTCCCCTACGGAACGCCCTAACGCCGTCGGTCGTTCTGTGGCGATCGCCTCCCACGTCCCAAAGTATTGGATTGCACATTTAAGATATGGTCAGAGCATAATCCACGACGTAGTCACAGGTCTGTGCCCGTCTTTTAAACAAGAATGCAAGGGCACCCGCTCGCACCTAACCTCAGCCTCCGACCTTGCACAACCACCCACAACGACACAAACGTTGTTTGATTTCCGCAGCGTCACCTTGCAGCACTCGCACGCCCTGTCGCAACTCTACTACTACTCCATCCAGTAGTACCCCTTCCTGTCTGTCTCTCTGTTTTTTTGCTCGTTCCGCGCTGTTGCACTTTGCTTTTGCAGCAAAGTGGTTTTCCTACGAAGCCGTCTCTTCACGCTTCGCATCGTCACTCTTCTGTTTTTGTCATCATCGCGAATGACCACTCTGTCCTGCTTGCTATGAGATAAGCCTCGACTGGCATACAAGAGATCCTATTGATCTGGTATCCAACGAGGGCACATGCGAAAAGGTACGACTTGCTAAGCACGATCCCGCGTCTTCGTGCTTGTCTGACTCGGGAGCTATCTCGTTCGTTCCAGCGGCCACCCGTCGCTGCGTCAAACAGCCTATGAACACGTTTCTGGCTTGTGTCTTACAAACCGCTCTGTCTTGGATAGTTTGTAAGCTAACGAGTGGTAGTTGGCGCTTGTAGCAACCCCATGCGCTTTTCTTGAGCCTTCGCTTCCCCAGGCTTCCTCGTCGCCATTACGCACACTCGCGCGCTCGACACCTTCCCGCTTTCGACCGTCGTCGTACACCCTACCTACGTCATCTTATGAGAACCCGGCCCACCATGCAGCAGAACTGCGGGAGCATCCGTCGGCGGAAAGAGATGCGTTCCCAGCCGACTAAGCCTGTCAACACAGCTTCCTCTTTCGGACCTGGCTTTGCTTCACGGTCCGCCATGGATGTCGACGACAGGAGTGCTTCCACGTCATGGCATAGCTCTACGACGTGCTTGGATGGACAGATGGAAGAGACCGCGTCAGGACCACGGCATGCGGTTGTCGAGGTTAGATCAAGAGATGGAAGTCCAGCACGAACACTATCACTTTATCACTCCACCATCCCAGAAGAGCTCGCAGGTTATCTACGAGTTATGATGCCTGGAGAGACAGGGGTGGAACAGTCTGGTGAGGAGCTGGCAGAGAACTTCCTCGAAGCATTAGATCTGCCGCCAGTCACCAAGCAGTCGTTGAGCGAGCTGGACATTCAGAGCATCATCACCAACATCAAGTTACGGCATGACGTCAACTTCGACAGAGACCTCAGCTTCAGACCGAACGTCGATGGCATTAAGGGACAAGAGAAGGAGAGAGTAGCAGACAAGTACTGGGGAGCGTTGATCGCTGAGCTGGTACTATACAACCGCATGTTCCATGGCACACCACCGCTGTCACCGATCCAAGTCGAAGCTTTCACGCCATATGCACAACGACGGATACCGATATTGTTCCAGAACGTCCGCGATGTTCTCAAGAGTCTGGTTCCCGATCGCGACCATTCCAGAGTGGACGAGCATCTCGACGTTCCCATGCTGATGCAAGCTATTGAGCGAGGAGTGTGTGATCTGGGTCGCTTGTCAGAGTGGATGGCGCAATTACTCAAAGAGCACTGCGCGCCGATGCGCGATATCCTTGTCGACGAGATGGTCACTTGCACACGACTGGGCGAGGCGGACCGCAACCTCGAAAAGATCGTAGAAGGTCTGAGGAAGCTGTTCGGCATTCTGGAGGCTATGAAACTCGTAAGTCGTTACATCTTATCGACATATGCTCAAGCTAACCCATGTAGGACGTTGCGAACCACCAGATCAGGAATCTGAAGACGCTTCTGATCGAGGACAGCGTCAACTTTGAGAAGCACTACCATCTCGACAGACTTGTCCACGGTAGGGCAAGGGTCAACATCAACACGGCACAATCCTGGTTCACCGACGCCGTTGATGAATTCGGTCCTCAGTGCTCGCCACGACCCCGAGCTGGCCCATGTTTTGAGTTAGAGGTCTTCACTCGCGCAGTCACAGCGATCACATTCGGCCGAGATGGACGGAGTGACTTCCCCGATACCTTTTTCCTGGACCACGATCGCCTAGCATCGCTCAAAGCCGAGGTTGATGATCTCGTCATGTTTGAGGTGTGCATGGAGATGTACACACAACTCGCCCGACAGCTCGGCTACCAAGGCTCCATGACCCTTGCCATCGGCCAACAACTCCGCACCGCTCTCTCCGCCATCATGGGCGAGGCCGTAGGCCACGGCCCCCAACAATGGATGCTCAACTCGGAAGCCCTCTCCCTAGAAATCCTCCGCCAGGCCTCGCACCTCGCCGGCCAAACCCCCTCCTGCAGTTTCGACCACATGGCCGAAGCCAACCAACACCTGCGCACCCTGTTCGTGCGCAGATCTTCCTGGCACGCCTCCCGCCTCGAAGCGTCGCTCCTTCCCCAGATCCTCGCCAACGTCGACCGCCACAGCACCTCCTCCCCCATCGAACTCTTCAACGCCCTCGTCTCTATATCTCCTTCCATGCCGCCTCTCCCATCGCTTTCACGACCAAACATCGCCGATACGTTTGCTTTTGCGCATTTACATCCCGAGACCGCGAAGTTGACCGACCTCGCTAATCGCGTTACGCATATTATACTCCTTCATTGGCGCATTTGGGGACCTATTGCTTATGTCCAGGAAGACGGGTCCCAGCGCTCGGCTTCTACTGATGGAAGCGCGATGTCGAATCAGGTTTCGCAGACACAATCGCAGTCGCGACAGGTGGCTTCGAATGCTGAGAAAGATGCTTCTGTTCCTACGAGTATGCGGACGGGTGAGAAGCTGGATAAGGGGCAGGAGGCCCATGGCTGTCATCAGTCGCTTCCGCAATAACAGCCCACACCAACACGTACAACATCCCTTCTTTCTTGTTCTTCTTCCTATCATCGGGTTTCCTGGCGTTCAAAAGGCTTCATCTGAACGACAATTCACATTTGGCGTAACTGGATTCTTTGCTTTTTTCACGATACCACTTTTCATGCTCACGGCGCTGCGGCAACACTATACGTTGTAATAGAATGTTCAACAAGACTGATTTGTTACTATTATGTTCAGCGATCGGACGGGATGTAGCATTAGCGGAGTATGATTACGGATTCTCCATATCAATGAACGTTATATTTGTATGTCGTTGTTCCTGTTGGTCTTGGTGCTGTGATGTGACCATTCACTCACTTCGTACACCATGACTCTTAAATACGGCGCTGCCCTTCTCATAGACTGAGACGAGTCTATCACTAATATGTCATCGGTTTCATCGCTTCTTTCCGCAGTGGTGAGAGGCACCTGCTACAACCGTGGTGGCTAGCGTCGAGCTAGTACCAAAAGGGCGTTTGCTGGATACTTTGTTTACTACACCCACTCCCAGTCGCGATCCAAGCAGGCAACTCACACCAATTCACGCAGGCGACTCACTTCACGTTCACGACAGACAGCCTCTTCAAGGACAGCATGGCCGCCGACATCAAGGACACCGCAGACCTATCTGCGCCCCGAGATGTCAGCGAGATGTAAGCAGCAAAGGCCTTTGTATGTTTCACTGCTGACCATGCTAGTACGCGCGATAACCAACTCAACTCGCCTCTCTTACGTCTTCCTGGGGAGATTCGCAACCGCATTTACGAGTACACTTTCTTCGATGCAAAAGTAATGGTGACAGACCCAGACTGGGACTGGAACGGCCGGGTGCCCTGGCGGAACGAGCGCCCAAACCACGTTCTCGCGATCTGCCAGCAGATTCGCCACGAAGCTACCTCCATCTTCTGGAATGAATGTATGATACAACCTGTCGGTATCTTTTTCTTCTCCGAGGTCGCGTCAATCATGGGAGTGTCAAACTGCGCTCGTATCACGTCCCTCTACGTAAATATGGGTCTAGCCTTCGACGGGATTGTCTTCGACTCCACACTACCAGTCCCGTACCCCTTGGCAGATTTCCCTCTGTTACGGAAGCTTAAAGTGAATGGTGTCTTCTTCAGACCAAAGAATGAGGACGAGGACGCTATACTGCGCTGTATTCGTGCCAAGGGCGTCGAAGTCGATTGCATGGACCATGAATTCGGCCTTGACCCGAGATGGTAGGGAACTTCAGCGGGCATGGCCACACAAGCATCATGACATGGCTTGAATTGAATGCGTTCTAGCTGCCGCATTCTGGAAACGAGCGATCGGACTTGTCGGAGACTAGCGATGCTTGGGTGGATCAGCTTGCATACAACGAAGAACACGATGGAGTTGAGTGCGTGCGCAAGTAGTTGACCGCAAGGCACTATCGTCCAAATTCATCATCTTACATCTTGTTATCTCCATGAAGTGAGGAACAGCAGTGCCTCCAGGCGAGCGGGCTTGCACTCTCGTACCTATGTAGAGAGGTCTACACCACCTCGGAATCCTGCAAAACTTGGTTCGGTACTAATTGTGGTCTGTAGCGCAACTATTCGGTTTCTTCCGTCCATGAAGTGGACCTCCATCGCAGCAACACCTCGCCCCGAACCCACGATCTGAACCAGCGCCAAAAATACGGACCATCTACTCGGTTCACCTGCTCTTCACCCTCTCGATTCGACCAGGAAAGTCAGGTTCCCGTCTCGAGACACGACTAGCGGTCACTAGCCACCATCTAGACCCGGCATCAGGATCACCGGCGCGGGAGATCGCTCCGCTAGTTTTTCGGTACCATCGCCATGGCGTCGCCTGTATGGATACAAAACGTGTCAGATTACTTACATAGCACGCATAGCTCTCCTTTCTAGCAGGATTTTCGTCGTCTTGGTCGCAGCGGCTGCATGTTTCCTCCCGCTACACGTGGGCACGGTGCGAACATGACGCACCAGACCCTGCAGCGAGTCGAGTTCGCGGCTGTCACAACCGGTTCCGGGCAGGGAAATGTGAGGATGGTAACGGCGCGAAAGAGGAACGGGTGCATCAGCGTGAGTCGAAGGCGTCTTCTATTATTTGCGATGATCCACTTCAACTGGGTAGGAGCTGGTGCGGTCAATTTCGGCGGAGTCGTATAAAGTAATAGCAGAGTCCTCGATATGCAGGCCCATACTCTGTCTGGGGCTTTGCTATCCATATTCGTCTTGAATCCACAATGGCGGCGCCTATGAACGATGTCGATCCTTCTGCGAGGCTGATTGCACCGGACGGTCTGCCGCTTGCGATCATCGTCATTTCATCCATCTTCTTCGCCCTTTCCATCGTCACTGTAGCGTTGCGAACTTATATCCGAATCAAGAAAAGGATATTCGGCTTGGAAGATGCGTTCATGGTTGTTGGCACGGTACGTTATCACTACTAGTATTTGACCAGTGCTATATTAACGTAACCTCAAAGATCGCATACATCCCCGTTACGGGTCTGGCAATCTACGGCTGCCTCGCTGGCCTAGGAAGAATGAACGAAGATCTGAACGCATGGCAGCAGTCGGAAGCCATCAAGTACTACCTCATCTGGATCTTGGTGTACGTCGTTGCACTCGCGACCGTCAAATCCTCAGTGTGCATCACGATTAGGCGAATTGCGTCGATCAAGAAGCCTATGAGAATTACCGTCTGGGTTCTCCTCGCTGTCACATGGGCGTCCTTCCTCGTTACCTTTGTTGGAACGCTGGCCTACTGCCAGCCGGTGCGCGCTTTGTGTGAGTACACCTGGTTTAGAATATATAGGTCGGACAAGACTGACTAACACCTACAGGGACTCCGACCTTGATCATGAGTGGCGACGGAGAATGCGCTTCTGCGGAGACCTTTCTTATCATCGCGCACACTGCGACGGTGTCGACGATCTTGACCGACATGGCCCTAGTAGTTGTGCCGGCCATCATCCTGTGGAACACGCAGATGAAGAGACAATCGAAGCTCCAAGCATTCGGGTTACTATCGTTCGCCTCACTGTAAGTCCTCAATCATCAAAGCAACACGAACCATCACTAACAACACCAGCGCATCAATCATCACCATGATACGCATCCCCTTCGTCAACAAATTCGAATCCCAGACCAACCTCCCCTTCTGGGTCGCCCACATCGTCCTCTGCTCGAACGTCGAAACAGGCATCGGCTGCTTCGCATCTTCCCTCCCAGCCCTGCGCCACTATTTCCAGAACGACCGCGACAACAGCACCGACCCGAACAGCAAGCATCGCGTCGCAACAACCATCACTGCAGGCGGTCGGTCGCGCCGACAAAGAGGTGGAGACAGCTACCACGGCCCCTCGGATCATGGCTTCAGCTTGTCGGCTGTGCATCATGGGCGCGATCAGGATGCTTGGGAGAGGATACACGATGGCGCGTCGGATAAGAGCACGGCGCCGATGAACGATAAGAGGATTTATCATGATAGGACGTATACTGTTGATGTTGAGTCTGCTTGATGGGATGTACTTTTAGCTCGTGAGGGTATAGTCAGCCCTTGAACGCCCCTCTATCATATCGAGAATGAGCCTGACGGAGGTCATTCCCGCGTTTCCATGCTCAGAACTCCACATAGCGTTTGCCATACACGTCAACAAGTTCAGCGTCTCTCCCATAAGCCTCCTTCACGACCTCAATTAACGTCCTCTTTATCATTCTCGGGGGCCACGGACACCGATTATGTGCCATGATGACCTTCTGTACCCTACCAAACGCCCCTTCGTAACAACGCGAGTTCTTCTGGAGATCCCAAGAAACACTATAATTGGGGCGGACAACCTCAATCCGATTACGCATACTCTGGCTCGTATCGCGTACAAGATGGTCCATTCTGTTGTATATCAGGTGGAAGACGGTGTTCTGCCAGAAGTAGGGAAGGGCTTCGTGACGGCACTGAGTGCAGGTTTGCGCTAAGCTCATCGGGTAAGGCGAGATATTGGGGCCTAGGAATTTGTGGCGGATAACTTTCGGAGCGATATATATATGGTTGTTATCGAAGGCGTAAAGGTATATCTTGTTGCGAAGCTCGGCCGGAAGGCGCAGAAGAGGTGAGTTGCGCTGGTTCGCAGCGGTGCTGTTGTAATTTGTCAGTTTGCAGTCGACACTTCACTGTCGCTGTCTCTTACATGCTGTCGAAATCCATTGTCGCTTCACGAATAAGCTTGCGCAGTAATGAAATCAGTCAGAGAGTTTGTTTGCTGTGACTGGAGTGGGAAAGAGAAAGAGATTGTCAAGTGTGACCGGGTGGTTGTTACGGTACAAGGTCGCGCTAGTGCACGTGGCTACCTCGCTTGCCCTCCGCATTCACTCCGCCATTTCAAGCTACTTATAGTATCCCGCTAAGCCGTCGACGACTGCAAGGAAAAGCAGTTTTCCTACATATTCAGTAACGCAAAGGCGACATGTCCATCAGACACCCCCTAGAAATCGTAATCCTCTGTCGTATCAAAGTCGGTATCAAAGGTGACCTCTACGTCACTGTGCATCAACTTCCTGATCCCTTCCACCACTTTCTTATGATGCGTTGCATGGACACGCCCACCCACGTGCCAATACTTTAGCCCCGGAAGACAGTCCGCGCTGTTTTTGTATTCGATGATGGCTAGGCTACCTCGGTCGGTATCTTCAAGAATGGTGACCGCCATTTTTCCTGTCGGATAGGCCCCTGTGCGGACTGACTTTATCATCGCGAGTATAATTATCCTCACATCAGCAGTGATGGAGTCAAACTCGTTGAAGTCGTATACGGAAATGGTGATGTGAGAGTAGTAGATTGGCTTCGACTCGTGCTCGATCTGCTTGCACGTCCTGAGGAGGGCGTTCCGGGTAGTGTTCTTGCCACAGAAGGCGAAACCATATATGCGGTTCCGAAGCTCGCCTGGAAGCCGGAGGAGGGGAGATCCCGATTGGTTGGCGGTAGTGCTAGCAGTCTTGTCAGTGATTTTGCCTCCAATAGTTGCGGAGTATCGCTCACATGGCTTCGCGCTCCATCGCTGTCGAGATATGAGTGTATTAGATGGGGGTATCGTAAGCAAGGTATTGTGCGAGCTGATGCTGAAAGGTTATCGAAAGGTCTTCAACACGCTAGCAAATGCGCTTGGACCAGCTGATTAAGTGAAGGTGAGTGAAAGAGCGACCACAGCATTCGGTTATTGGAATATAATACAATATGTCGTATACCTTCGCGCATCACCCAAATTCTTCAATTTCACACTTCACACACCCACGTCTCTATCTCAGTGTATCGATTCCCGCAACCAAACAACTTCCAGCTCCATGTTATCAAATGGCTCTTGTAAAGCCAGCAACCTCTCCTTCGAATCTTCCTCGTGGTAACGCCGGGGTGTAATCGACACCTTCCTAAGCCCCTTGAACGAAGGAAAGATAGCATCGCGCCGTAACCCCAAATCCGCAAGTGGGGAAGATCTGTTGTTCGACAAAACCAACGTCCAAGCCGTTGTCCATGGGATGATGATATGCACTATGTCTTCATGACCAGTGAGGGTAGTGAGCCTTTTCACATCCGCAACCTCGTTTACTAATATCCTGGATTTGGAATAGAGAAATGGTGTGGCTTCAGCCCGGATTTGGCGACAGATTCCAAGGACGTGGATACACTGACCGATGGTGGGTTGATGTGGATGGATGCTTAGTGCATGTCGCCGAACGACTACTATGTCGTTGATGCCGAAGATATACGCGTACACGGCGTTCCGTAGCTCCCCAGGTAGACGTAAAAATGGTGAGCGCTGTTGGTTCGTCGTTATATTCTCCATAATATGGTGTCCGCGTCTGTAACTTTGAGCGATTGTATTTCAAAGTAAATGAGGTCAGAACGGGCTGGAATAGACGCAGTAGTAGTAGTAGTAGTAGTGATTCAAAGCAACTGGAGTAGGTGGCTGTATATATTGTGGGTAGATAGAGCTACTTGAAACTGAGAACATAGTACATATACTTTCCCCAAGTGATGGGTACCCATGGAATGAGCTCAAGAGTGAGCGAGCAGTGTCGGACTTTGCTACCATTCCATCAAGATATCTTCAAGGTCTTTTCTACTTCACCGTATGTAGCCATTCCATTAACATCTCTTCAAGGAATTCTCCACTTCACCATGTGTAGAACTACATCGCGGCGAGTTTAGAAGGTAACAAAATGTCATATTAATTAA